TACATTATAGTTTTAAAATATAAATTTAAAGTAAAATAAATATTGATTGATGAAATATTGACGTTCTAATACTTATTTATTAATTTACAAAATTTATTATTAAAATATTAATATAATATTTTTTAAGTATATAATTTGTTTTTAAAAAATATTAATGATCAATGTTACATATACAAAATGTTATAATACTTTTTATAAATAGAATATGAACAAAAATAATAAATAAGACAAAAGTAAAATATTCTTAGAACAACTAAAAACGATACTAAATATTACTTAAAATATTGATTAAAAAATAATTATGTAATTAATCGACTCATTTCAAATTGTTAATTTATTCGAAAGATTAATAATTATTATATATGTTTATTAGTAGAAAATAATATATAAATTACTATTATTATTTTATAACTATTAATTAATAATGCTTTTTAAAAATACTGCAAAATAAAATAGAAATTTAACATGACAAAAGTAGAATATCATAAATAAAATAAAAATTATTTTAAATAATATTAATATAAAATATTTATTGTATTTTACTAATTTAATAAATATATGTATAAATTATGGATTATTCAATATACTTAGATATTCTATATATCATTATAACATATTTATGCCGTAATTCAAATTTTAACAAAGAATTTTTAAAAATACACGTGCTAAATTTATTCTTGTGTTAAACGTTACTTTATCATTTTCATGCAACAAAGTATTATTTCCGAAGAGCGAGATGTAAGCTACGCGTCCTTATCACTACATACTTATAACTACGGAAGAGTAGGCGACCGTCGTCGCATTTCCTGTTGTCATCTCCATCAACTCATACATGCAAGTATTAATATCATGTATGTATAACTGCCTGAAATCCTGGAAATTAAATTAAGCTAAATATTATACGTTATTATTTGATATTTTCAATATATTATTTTTTAATTTTTAATAAATGAAAACCCAATAATACTTTCATACAAATGATGTATTGTCAGCAAGATTATTTACTAAATTCTATACGTGTAATGAATTCTATACACTTTTTACATATTATTTATCGGCAAGAATCATAACAAATCAAGGTCCTTTAGAATTAAAATAATTAATTGTAGATTAATAAATAGTCTGTTTCAAACATGTATAACTGAAGTGACAATAATATTCTTTGATACTCAATTTAAAAACTTATTAAATACGTACAATAAAATTTATACGATGAAAGCCTTATTAATTTCAATTATATATTAACGATAGTAATTACTTACTAATAAATATACGTATATATAGAATCATATTCGTAAATTTCTGAAAGGATAATAAAATTGTGCCTGGTATGATTAGCGTTCGAACTATAAGTATTTAAATGACACCTTTGTTATTTTTAACTTAAAATTACTTTTCATCATATTTCATAAATAATTGATGTTGATTAATTAATGTAAGTCATTATATATTTTTTCTTTTTGCCAATTCTTCATTGTCTCTCAGCATTAGTAATACTAATACTAATAATATATATTTTAACATTTAATTAATTTATTTATTATACATATTCCATTTTTCTTTAAACTATCTAAAATTTTTTAAAACTTATATATATATATATATATATATATAAATATTTATTTATTTATTTAAATCTACAATTTATTATTGAATATTATATGTGAATATTACATCTTAATCTACATGATTAGCATAAGTTTTACATAGTTGAACATGTTAATAATAACTTCTATATCTTTAATGTGTATTACGGCGAAATGTTAAAACACAATATATTTAATATTATAAATAAAACTCAAACGATTAATTGAATTAAATTATCATGAAATAAATCCTTTTTGTTGATATTCAATTTAATTTAATTGTATACCTCATCTCCTTTATAAAAATAAACTATAGTGAGATTTCTATAGATTTATAATTTCAACTATTACTGCAACAATATAAATATGGGATTTATTTTATATTATATAAAAGATGAAATTCAATAATTATTTGTGACAAATAAATTCAGTAAACAATCAAATGATTCTAAAGATTTTTTTTTACTATCTATATTTAAACTTGTTCACAGCTAATCAATAAAACATATTTGGAATTTTAATATATAAATTAAAAATATTTACCACTATAAAATATCTTTTTTTTATGTCAAATTTTGTTATAAATAAACTTTATAAAGATAAATACGAGATACCGCTAATATTCGTTATTATAATACTCGTCACTACAATTTTATTGAATTAAAATGATTAAACATGGTGCTGTAATTACAATATAAACAGACTATATAAGCGAGAACAATTTCATTAATAATACCGCTATTAGTTATAATAAAATAAGTACTATTTGTCTATAAAGCTGAAATAAAAATTAGAGATGACGAGATATAAATAAAAAAAGTTTTCTATTATCATTAAATGCAAATAAGTGCTTATGAAAATATATAAAAATATGTTATTTAATTTTCATTTTATAACAAATTCTGAAAGAAAAACAAATTTTATTTTAATAAAAAGTTTATTATAAACTTATATTCACATATAAAATTTATTATTGGCAAAGGCATAAAATATGAAATCGATTAATGAATAAAATGGGGATGGAGATATGTGCACTACAGAGGAAGAGAAGGAAGGAGCAGTGACTAGGAGATGAGTAGCATACCCTTTCGATAACACACTTCCCATTGACAAATAGCGTTAGCTCGCCATATACTCTCGCTCCACCGGATGTGCTGGGTAATCTAATATTTAGATATCACATTTTCTTTCTAGGTCTCAACCCGTTACCTCTCCTCATTACTGTGGACCTCAACAACCGTTCAACCAATATTTTGTTCCATGCAAAGTATTTTAACTACACAAAATTTGTTTCTGAGATCGATACCGGAAGATATACAATCGAAAAATATTTTTCACTAACTTTTACACTATTGACTTCTAATACTAATTTACTATTTTTGTTATACTTCACTTTACTCTCAATTATCTCATATAATCATTGAAATTATGCAGTCCATTTATTGTCCTTAAAATTAATTATCTTAAACTAATTATTCTTTATTAAATAAATTATTTGTATTAATGATAGAGAATAATTTATAAATTTATTATAAGAGCTGAAATAGATAATCACAGAACATAAATTATTTAAGTAATAAAGAATTATGAACCATAATTCAAATTTAATGAAATTAACTAGTACTGTGATCATATTACATGACGATAATATATATTTTATTTAACTATGATAGAAATAAAAATTGTTATTAAAATTTGCTTGTTTTGTTAATTTATAAGAATGTTTATCAAAATCGTATAAATATAATTTTTTAACATAATTTCAAATGTTTTTTAGATTTTATAATAAAAATAATATAAAATGAAGATAATAATTTACAAAAAAACAATATTAAAATACTTGAAGATATACAAATGTATGAAGAATAATAAAAAATATTTTTATTTTCTTATATTTACAAAATATTATTAATAATATATTTACTCTATATATTTTTAAAGACTAAGTAAACATTATAGTACAGTAATTATTAAAATTATTTATCAATTTAAAATAAATATTTTCTATGAATTACATGTAGTATGTACAATAATTTTCTGTAAATATTATATTATCGATTAAGGCAAGCAATTAATTTTTTGCGGATTAGAATAAAATTTTTTTAAATGCATCTTTTATTCGCGGATATTAATAATTCTTTTAAATCCCACATTTCACTTAGTTTAATGATCTTTCATTGATTGTTATGTTTATCAACTAATCGTCATCTTTAACTTATTTTTATCTATATTCTTATCGTATCTTTTGTTACATATGTGCTTTGTATTTAACTCATTTTTAAGGTTATCTATCCATGCAACTGCAAGTTTATAAAAAGAACAACCTTTTAAAAAATAATTAATAGTAACATTTTTACTTCTTTTTTCTACCTGTCGTTATCTCTTCATACAAGGCTCCGTAAATAAAAGAAATAACTATTATTTATGAACTGGTCATCTTCTTATATTTTCCTATATTTCTTTTCTTCCTTAAATGAAAATATAAAATAGGGTGTGAATGTAAAGAATTAAAATTATTATTTACTTCATTCATTAAGACTTAAATTTAAATTTTAGTGAAGCAATAACTTCATAATACTGAAATAAGCTTAGTAATAATATGTTGAAATTCACAAGATCAATATCATTTCATATCATCAATATAAATCTCATGTGACCTCATTTATTTCTTATTTATTCCAAATAATAAGTTTATTGTTTTTGCCAAACCAATTGAAAAGCGTTATTCGGTAGTAATAAATAAACCTCAAATTATTTTAAATATTAGTATTTTAAACGCCATTGTAAAATAAGCATTCCTTTTTAAGTAGAATTTTAACAGCATCATAAAAAGCAAATATTTCTATCAAAATTGTTGTTTCTCACTTTTCTGAAGAAAGCGACATGGATATAGAATCGAAGTTGTCCATAAATAATTATATTTAAAAATTTTTTTTCTGCTCTTCGATTTCTCTTGCTGTACCTTCAGAAATTATAATTGAATTTCTTATAATATGTTTCCTATCAAATATAAATTTGAAACAATTTAATGATTAAGTATATAAAAAGTTTTTAACTTTATAAATAATTTATTTTGTAAGAAGCATTTTATTATTTTCTTATTTTTAAACGATATTAACCGCTCTACAATAACAAAACTATTAATACAGACCAACACTACATATACAAATTGTAATTGAAAATTATTACTTTACGTAACAGCATAACAAATTTTATTTCCAAATAAATATTAAAAATACCATTTATTATGTTTGTAAGCGATATATATAAATTTTTTTTAAAAAGTAAAAAAAACGAAGTTTAAGAAAAATAGATAAAAATTACCATTTTATCACTCTAGTTTAAAAAGTACTAATAAAAAAGATTACTATGAAAATATGATACTTTGTCACATAATTTTATCTTTAATTTTAGGGTGAGGCGGGAATTCAAGGATTTGTCGGTAAACTTGGAGAATCGGTAGGTTGAATCAGTTTATATATTTATTAGTTATAAGTATCATTTTAATAGTATAATATTAACTATTATTTAAATAATGGTTTATAACACAAATAATATTACGAGAATTTAATTAAATATGTGATTATTTAAATATACAGTAATTTTCAAACTTAATCTAAATGTATTATTTATAATTATTATTTCATTTGCTTACTTCTATAATTACTACTTAATAATAATTTATACCATTTCTTAAATATGTTACTAATTAACAAATTTGTACACATGCATTACTGAATTTAGCACATTTGTGAGCATAAAATAGATAAAAAGAATAGTTATATAAAAGTACTTGTTTAATAATGAAATAAATATATAGAAATATTAAAATCTTAAAAATAAAGAAACATCTTTTTTTACAAAATCATAACCCGGCTTTATTTATATTTAATGTCGGCAAATCTCTTTTGTATTTAATTTTTACTTTTACATCATCATTTTTTAGCAGCTTACCGTTAAGGATAATGAAATTATAGTGTTTATGCAAATAACATATTTTAAAATACATGAACATATAAACAAACACAATCGGTAAAAATATCAACAAAAGTGTTTTGATAGAAAGAGAAACACTGCTCACTTTATTCATATAACACGAATGTTGAAATATGTCTTTACTGATAATGAACGTAAACAGAAGATATACGCTAGACAAATTTATTTATACTTTAATTAATCTGAATATAACATTGAAATAGAAAAGTGAAATAAATATTAGAACAATTATTCTTCTTATAGGGAAGAGCAGGCCCCACAGGGCCTCGAGGGCCTGATGGCCTTGATGGTTGCAACGGTACAGATGGTCAATCCGGTGTACCGGGTTACCCTGGAAAACATGGTGAGCGAGGTCCTTTTGGGCCACCTGGTCTTCAAGGCTCACCTGGTGACGCCGGTGAAGGTGGGGTCAATACTAAGGGCGTCAAAGGAGAACGTGGGGAACATGGACTCGACGGCAAATTGGTGAGCCATCTTATTTTTTCATATTCTTGCTTTATCCAAATAAATTTGAATAGTATTAAGTCTAATAAATTAATATATTAATATTCGAATTAAACATAACGTGTATCTGTTAATTCTTTTATAATATTTTTAATACCTTATAAGATATTGTTGATTTAATAATTAATTATCATATTTAGGGAATTCCTGGCCTTACCGGACTTTCGGGTGATGATGGATATCCTGGTGAAACGGGTGATATGGTATGTTTCATTCAACTAATATACAATTATTTTAATTTAAATAATGTATTATATTATTTTGTTTTATATTATTTATTATATACTAGTTTAATAAAAGTATAATTAACGATATATAATCCTTTAAAAATTTATTAACGTCCTTATATTTATAAATAATTATCTATGGGTATAAACAAAGTAAATCAATATAAATATATGAAAATAAGAATTTCATTGAAGCAATTAGTAATTCTTCTTATAACATTAAATATTAAATATTTTTGAATTAACAATATAATAAAACATTAAAAATGATTATAAAGTTAATACAATATATCACCATATTTAATTTAGCTATGTATAAATAGTTAAAATTAAATTTATAGCAGATTCATAAAATAATTTTTAAAAAATTTTTTGCGTTATGTGTATTTACCTTCAATATTTGTTTTTTTTTTTAATTATTTTGAGGAAATAAAAGTAACTTATATGTTTTTATTATATTTAAGAATAATTGGATAATGCATTTCACAATGAAAATCTTATATAATTTTACTATTAATAATGTTACTAATTATAAATCTTATTTTTTCCATAAAAGTAATAGCACGATTCATTTTTATTAATTTTAGACATATATGTTTAATATGACTAATACTAGAGGTAATAAAACTTATTAGGTAATCAGTAAATAATTTTTTTTCAAAGCTACAGATAAGAAATAGAATATAAAAACACGAGAGAGAAAGAGAAATATGAAAGAAATATGAAAGAAATATGATATGAAAAAAAGGATGGAAGATTAATTCTTGAAATATTTCGTCTTCTATTATTCAAGTAAAAGCTAGCTTTTCAAACAATTCTAAAAATGATAAATGTGACTCGATGCGATTGTCTTTGCTATACGATTCTGATACTCATGAAAAGTGTGTTAGTCGCATACACCATTTACATACGTAGCCTTATCGACGTAAGTAACACGATGCTAGTGGAATGAGTGTTTGCTGAGCAGCCATACGACTCATACAGTATAACTGCTGACGTATACTAATTATAAGTGTGCAATTTACTACAAATCTTTTCTTGAGAAAATTCTAGGGGCCAGAGACTCAACTCTTAGAAAGCGACAAAAACTCAAATTTCGATAGTGTCACGTCCGCACCCGACATATTTTGCTATCTTATTTCTAAATATTGAGAGTTTAAACTACGTCAATACGTACATATATTTTTATTTTAATGTACAATTCGATTCGAATGTTTTTTATATAAAATTGTTATATCTCATAAAGAAACAAAAGAATTTGCAATTTGTATATATACTTCAAATATAATTTATATCACATTAAACATCAATGTCAATTAAATTTTAAATCACTCTTAAACATTTTAACTTATATACATTCAAATATTATCGAATAATTATTATTATTAATTAAAAAAATTCAAAATAAATGTTGAAAATTAGTAAATTATTCATAAATTTTTAATAGATTAACAAATTGCAGTTACAATTTGTTTAACCAGTACAGATATTTCATTATAATGGGAATTAATAAATTCAGTAAGTAACAATACTTGTCACTGTAAACTTCGTTTTTCATACATTTATAAAAATGTAATATATAAATTCAAGTAACTTAATATAATATTATATTATTAAAATATTTAAAAGCTTAATTTTACGTCAGTATAAAATGGAGAACGTTGAAGGTTTAATAATAATAATAAATCTCCAATTCCTAAAGTAACAAACTGAAAAATTTGTTTTTCATATTATTTAATATAACAGTTTACTTTTATTTTATGAAAATTAAATATTTAATATATATTTTTTGTAATATCTCAGTTAAAGTAAAGAATAACTATTTATCAAAACAAAATAAATGATCTAAATATATTAATCGATTGATAATAATTAATAACTCATAAAATTAATAACTCATTGAATTTAACCCCGGTGAAATTTTAAATTATCATTTTAATTAAAATCGATAAATTGTTTATTCTTTATCTCATTATATCAACATTTGTACATATAACACTAATGTAAATCAATAAAATATCAAAGGTTTAACAAAATATGAGTAAGAAAATTAAAAATAAAGATTTATTGTACTAAATAATAAAATGTAGCTTTATAGTAGTTATTTGTAAAAATATTATAAACAAAATTATCACTTAATTGAAAAAAATAAGAAAGAAATATATGTTACTATATCTAGGGTGTACAAGGATTAACAGGACTCCCCGGTATACAAGGAGATCGAGGTGATAACATATTTGGGCCTAAGGGTGAACTAGGTGAGCAAGGTGACCGAGGTGAGAAAGGTATTGCTGCAGTTCGAGGAAGTACCAGAAAGAACACAACAGCTCGTGCGGGTCCTACTGGACCAAAAGGTTACAAGGGTGAGATAGGAGAGCGTGGATTTAAAGGCGAAGTTGGTGAAAAAGGACTGCCGGTAAGTCCCCTTACTAATTCACCTTGTTTTTCTTTTTATCTTCTTTTACATCTTTACATGCAGACAAATAAAAGTTGTTATTATAGAATACCAAACTGTATATATTAATTATCTCATCTGTTTTTAGTCTCTTTTTAATGTTTAACTTATTTTCCATTCCACAAATATAAATGTTTAAATTAATAATTTAAAGCGTCTGAGCAGTATTTTAGAATTAAGTCCAGTCCAAAACACAAATATAAATACTTGAAAATAATATTAATAAAAACAAGTAGGGTTACGCAGGACGAGATGGATTGAAAGGAACAAAAGGCGAGCAAGGGGAAGACGGTCCTAGAGGGAAACAAGGAGTAACAGGACCAGCTGGTCCGGCCGGAGACAAAGGTCAAAAAGGAGCAATTGGATACTTTGGAAAACAGGGACCCGAAGGAGACAAAGTATTTCTAAATTCATTATTAATTTATCTTTAGTGATTTCAACTATATGAATAAAAATTTCTTTTAAAATTACTTGGAATTTTATATTCATTTGCAATAGAACCGATAATTTTTCTCATAATTTTAAATTAATTAAGAATTAATATATTTTTATAATAATTTTTTTATTATATACAAATGTATAAAATAGATAAAAATAATTTTTACTCATAGGGTGCAATTGGAGATAGCGGAAGACAAGGTTCTCCTGGAAGACAAGGCGCTATCGGTGAAAAGGGTGAATATATTCCCGAGCTTGATGAAATAATCAAAGGCAGTATTGGTACTCAGGGTGATATTGGTATGTTCTAGAAAATAAAATCATTTTATCTTTTATATTCTATGAGATGTAGACGTATATATAAATATTATACACTACATAATTTGAACATAAATTTGAATTTATCTCGTGTAAGTAACTAAAATTTTTTTCAAATATAAACAGGATTACAAGGAGAAATAGGACCCTCGGGAACACCTGGTGATTCTGGAAAAATTGGATACATTGGACCACCAGGACCTCCTGGACCGCAAGGTCCATCAGGAAATCCAGGACCTAAAGGAACATCTGTTAAAGGAGAGCAAGGAGATGACGGTAAATTTATGATTTATTTGATTTCATAAACAATACCATTTTTAATTATTAAATCTTAATATCCAACGGAATATTACCTCTAATTATACATTTTATATTTTAAATGTTTAATCTAAACATTATTAGAATTTTATTGAAGATTATTATGTTATAATAACAGTGTTGTTTTCATTATACTGATGTATAAGTCAATATTAGAAATATCAGATCATACTTTAGTTTATATACAGAACTTTACTCAATCAGTCTAAAATGAAATCATAAACAATTTTATTTATCTTCTAAGACAGAAATTGCTATAGTATACAGATTTATATTTCATACTTAATAAACATATTTTTACTAGCTAAAAATTCTTCAAATTACTTGAAATGTAAATTTATATGTTTAATATTTTTTATAAATTTCAAAATTAAATATTATTTTCCTTATTATTATATACACTCAGAACTTATATTTTTATCATTCCACTTATTCATTCATTTTTTAATTAGTTTAATTTTTATGTGAAAAACATTACTTTTGAAATTAAAGAAATTAAAGCCATTACTATTTACAGGTTCCCCCGGACCAATTGGATTACAAGGGTCAATTGGATTATCGGGAGACGTTGGCTTACCAGGTGAAAAAGGTTTCCCTGGAATCAGCATTACAGGGCCAACGGGTAGAAATGGTTATTCTGGTATGGATGGTAATGACGGACCAATGGGAGACCGTGGTGAACCTGGAGCTCCAGGTTTTTATTTAAATTTAATATTAATACCGTATGTTTAATAATATAAATTAATAACATAAATATTGAAATTAAATGTATTTAGTCATTATTAAACTTTGATCCTTATTTGAATAAAATTATAATAATGTAGAGTATGAATTTATTTATAGAAAAAATCAACAGCAGAATCTTTCTCTTCAATTTAATAATTGATAATAAAATACCTTGCTGTATAGTAATATACATAAATGGCACGTATTTTTATAATAGTTATTAATGTATCGTTATTTATCAATATTGAAAATTTTATTAAAAAAAAATCATTATTGAAGCTGCAAAATTAAAATGATACACTTTTTTATTATTACTTTATGCTAATTTCGAATATCAAAAATAAGGTTTCATAATTAATTATAAATTAATGTCAGACTAAGTATAAAAAGTAATCAAATAATTTTCTATAATCGATTGAAATATTTGAAATTTCATTTGATAAACTCCAAGTAGAATTATTATATTATTTTAAATAATAATTTTAATGTATATGATATAGATTTACAAAAAAAGAATCATTTCATTTTTTATAAATATTTCTAACACAAGAAAATTTAAAATGTGTACTTTAATATTATATCCTTTTTTAGGCCCTAAAGGATTTTCTGGCGTTGGCACTCCAATTATCGGTCCACCAGGAGAACCAGGTCTACCTGGCATACCTGGAATATCGGGTATATATGGAAGAAAAGGTAATGATGGACTGGATGGATTTAAAGGTACTCGTGGTGATGATTGTGGTATTTGCATCCCAGGTATGTACTAATTAATAGATATTCGAATTTACAAATTATGTATATATCTTTTCATTATCTAATTAATTAATAATTTTCTAAAGACAATATCAATTTTCACATTTTTTATGAACAAGTAAGTGCGTGCATAAATGAAGTATCCCTGTGAATAAACTTTTATACAATATTTATATATTCAAATATATAAATACTAATTATAAAATTATCATACATGACATGAAGCAAGTTTCAATGTATATTATATGTATATATATATATATATATATATATATACAGTTAGTAATTTGAAATTAAAACTTGGGTAAAAAATATGTGTAAAAAGTAGCTCAGAATTATAATTGCTAATATCCAAATTAAAGAAAATTAATAGATTTTGAAAATTTTATTCATCTAAAAAAATTGCAAATAATATAACTATTATTTATCTAAAAAAATGTAACTTTCTATTAATTATTTCTAAGCTAAATATGTTAATATTATATAAATGTATATACAAAGCATATATTTTTTAAAAATAAATTAAAAACGGAATTTAATATTAATATTTCAGGAATTAACGGTGAGATGGGAGAGTCAGGTACACCAGGTTTCGATGGATTTCAGGGTGCACCTGGTTTCGCGGGTTTACCAGGACCTCGAGGATTTAAAGGCATACAAGGTCAGTTAGGCAATGCTGGTGGTCCAGGTATTCCTGGTCAAAATGGTCTTCCCGGAATAGTAGGCATTCAAGGCCCAAAAGGTTCACCTGGCCGCGTTACATTGCCTGATTCTTGGCATGAACAATCTTTACACGGCGATAAAGGAGACAAAGGTTTTCCTGGTCCAGTGGGTATAAGAGGTATACGTGGAATTCCAGGTGAAGTAGGAAATTCAGGATTTGATGGTCCAAAAGGAGAAAAAGTAAATTACTTTAAATATGATACATATTTATATATTAACTATTCCTTAAGTCCTTTAATATTTCAAAATCATAATTTAAATACAGAAAAATATAATGCAATAAAAAGGTAATTAAACTACCTTACTAATATATTTAGAAAATTATGCTTATAAATTAATTTTATCATGAATTCTAAAACTTCTTCTCAAACTAATCATAAATTCAGAATCAATTTAAGCAAAGTAACATAATATACGAGTTTTAAAAAAATGAATTCCTTGAAAAACAAAATTAAATTACTAGTATTATCTTTAATTTTAATACCTATTCACAATTAAATAACTTTTTAATTATAAATAAATTATCTTTACTAATAATAATAAGTGAATTATGTATTAATATAAACAACTATAAACTTTTTAAATAAAAACTCTACTTTGTTGAATGACGTTGTTAAGGGTGAATTTGGTCTTCCTGGAGAAGTTGGTCGTGATGGTGAACCTGGTTGGGATGGAGTAGATGGAATAAAAGGAGACTCTGCACATATATCTAAAATTAATCTTAAAGGAAATAGAGGTTATGATGGAGTATTAGGTTCTAAAGGTGAAAGAGGAAATTCTGGTTTAAAAGGAAATCGAGGTGATGCTTCGCAACACGATTTGCTACCTTTTCGAGGTGACAAGGGCATAAAAGGATTAAGAGGAGATAGTGGTTAGTGTGTATCAAACTCTGTATACTGTATCATTTGAACTTCAAATTCATCAAATTGTATTTTAATTGCCGTTTAAATGAGACATTTTAATTTTCATACAATTGAAACAATCTTTATTTAAAACTAATAATTATAATATGCATTGAATGTATTGATAATTTAGAATTTTTTAATTTTAATTAATTTATTTCAGGATTTGAAGGTTTTAAAGGTAAAGTAGGTGATATTGGTCTGAGAGGACTCGTTGGTTTAACTGGCGAACAAGGTGCACAAGGTTTCTCAGCTGAAGGTCCAGAAGGTTTAAAAGGATATCCTGGAATGCCAGGAGAGGAAGGTCCTCGAGGAGTACCTGGAACTCCGGGTATAATCGGTCCAGAAGGCACTCCAGTATGTTAATATAAATATTATAATAAAATATAATTCAACATAAAATAAAAAATTAATAACTAATTATGATAACAATACAGTGATAATGTTATTATTAGTTACATATTATAAAGTTAAAGATATACAATATGAAGATGACGTTACAATTTTATTAGTTATTTTATAAATATTTTATTTAAAATTCTAATATATAATATTAAAAGAGATAATTCATATTAAATTATTCATTATCTTATTATTCATATTTATTCATTCATAATTATTCATAAATTATTCAAATAAATTAAATTCATATTAAATGCTATATATTTAAGAAAAAATAAAATTTAACAAAAATAACCATTGAATTCAGTAATGGTTATCTTCTATCGTTAGCATTCGAGCTTTTAAATACTCAGGAATAATTTTTGCATTTAAAATTATATATGTTTATATTAGTTTAAATTTCCTAATTTATTATCAATAATCAAAAGGCAAATATTCTTTTTTGAAATATTAAAATTTTGAAACTATTTAAAAATTTCATTACTTACGTAATTTTTCTAACAAAGAATTATTAAACTTTATTTATAAAAATAGAAATATTAATATCTAATTAATAATTATTTACAAAATATATTGGCATGAATATATCACTTATTAATACATAATTAGTATAAAACTGATTTATTTATCTCAAAATTTTTTATTGTTCAGCATAATTAAATTATATTTATTAAAGTTAAATTGTAATTATTATAAGATTATATAACGCTTATACAATTACAGGGTATACTTGGTTTAAAGGGAGATCGTGGTGAAGTCGGTAGCATTTATTATTATGGTGATATTGGAGCAATCGGATTAAAAGGTGAATACGGTGAAGTGGGTAATATTGGACCCCCAGGTATCCGAGGACCACCTGGCAAAGATGGTATAAAAGGTTTAAAAGGCCTTAAAGGATCGATTGGATATAGTGGATATCCTGGTACACCTGGATTTAAAGGACCGCGAGGTGACAGTATTCAAGGGTGGAGAGGAGTACCTGGTGCCCCTGGATTTCCTGGACAGCTTGGAATAATTGGTGAAAAGGGCTTCAAAGGTGTAAATGAAAATCCCAATTATGTTGAATAAAAATTTTAATATTATTTTAATATTTCAATATAGATTATTGAATAGAGATTATTCTTATTATTTCTTAGATTTTTTTAAATTGAAAAATTTTATATTTATCTATATTGAAAAAATCATATTATGAAGACTATGAATAATATTCGTGAAAATTCTATTAATAATAAATTATAATATCACGATTAACCAATTCGAGATACATTAAAGACAATAATTATTAAATCATAAATTAAATGAAAATTATTACTTATACTAATTCTTCATAAAAAGTATTCCTTTAAGTAAATATGCTGAATTTATAAATTTTCTTTTAAAAAGTCAAAAAATTTACTTTTATATAACTGTAGTGAAAAATTACAAATTTATTAGTTATATTATATTTATATTATATTTATATAACATTATATTATATAAACAATTTCAGGTATTGATGGTACCTTTGGATTTGATGGAATAAAGGGTGTACGTGGAGATACAGGTCCTCCTGGTCATACAGGTTCTAGTGGTGATGATGGTCAACCGGGTTACACGGGTATGGATGGTCAGATGGGATTTCCTGGTGTTCCTGGTGAAGATGGCGATATCGGTGAAGTCGGGGACTTTGGTCCAATTGGTTGGCCAGGAGTAATTGGTGAACCTGGACAATTGGGATCTAAAGGCGAAAGAGGAAATATCGGTTTTCCGGGACTTGAAGGATTACCCGGCATACCAGGGCGGTCGGGTCTCAAAGGAGATAGAGGAATTTTAGGACTAAAAGGCAATAATGGAGAACACTCCTTCAGTGGACCCCAAGGTGATGTCGGAGAATCTGGTTTCATTGGAGGAAGAGGATCGTATGGTCTACCCGGAGTTGATGGAAAACCGGGTTTACCTGGATTACCTGGATTATCTATTGATGGATCTATGGGATTGAAAGGTATAAAAGGAGATTATGGATATATTGGATTTAACGGAACTCGCGGAGAAAAGGTAAGTTTCAATATAACTATTTTACAAAATAGCTATAAATATATATGTTGTATGTTATGTGCTTTACAAGTATATTAATAAATCATTAGAATTTAAAAAATTTTAATTTTAAGATTATATTAAATTAATTATACATTAAAAGGTTAATAGAGATTGTAATTTTAGTATAAGACTATAATTATAACTTCTAATCAGGACATTTTAATTCGAAAGTAATTTTCATATTTAAATAAATATGATATATAATTTAAAGTCGGATAATATATATTACATTAATATTTCGTATTAGGGAGATCAAGGTGATTATGGGTTTTATGGATCGAAAGGCGAGATAGGATATGAAGGTAAAAAAGGTAACATAGGTATCTCTGGAAGGCATGGACTTTCAGGATTTAAAGGCGAAATAGGAACCATAGGTTTGCCGGGTGCAGAAGGTATTAAAGGACAACGAGGCCCTGACGGTGATCCTGGTATAATAGGACGTCCAGGTAAACTATACTATTAAAATATTATAAGATAAATATAATTATAGCGTTGTCAACAATTAATCCTAGAAAAGCTTTATAATGAAAAAATATGGTTAAAATATTGATCGAACTTATTAATATTTTAATAAAAAAAATTACATCTGTTATAAATATAAATATATATAATATAAATTACAATCTAATAGACAATTATATCTTTTTAATTGTTTTCACTTTTATTTATTTATAAAATAAATTTTAAAGAACAGTATGTAAAATGAATGTCTAAAGTACTACCTACATTATTAAAAATTCGAAAGTATGATTTTTATACTAATTAAAATATTATATTCTGGCATTGGTATAAATAAAATAATTACCATTTTAGAAATTGAATAAAATCATTCAATACCATCATAAAAACAAGATTTAAATAGATTTAATTATCAAGATTTTATTAAAACTAGCAATATTAATATAATAATTCGTTATTATACTACGTAATAACTTAGATTGTATCCAATATTAATTTTAATTTGACCGATTTATTACATTATTTGGAGTTTATATACAATTTCAGTTATATCTCCTATTCTCAAAATTCCTTTGCCTTTACTTTGTATTGCCGAATATCTTGGGAATAACAGTCCTGTTACATTTAGTTAATGTCTGTAATTTATCTGAACTTACAAAAATTATGTAAACCCTAGTTTAAGTGTTTTGTATGGCGCTGTGAAAATTATTAAAACAATATTAATAGATGTATAAGAATAATAAAGCAAGTATACCCTTATTTTCAAAAAAATAATTTTTGGTAAATAAAATTCAATTTAAAAAATCACAGAAAATACCAGTGATAAAATTAATCTAGGTCATGAGAGATGATGAAAATAACATTATAAACAAAATCAGTTCTTCTCTTGTTCAATTCTTAAAAAAACAACCTGCACTAAACTTACTAATTAAATAAATAATTAAAAATCTTCATCTAATAGCTGCAACATTTAGAAATACATAAAAAACAATAATTACTGACTATTTAATAGCATTGATCGGTATGATCTAGTTTATCAGGAAGATAATTATCAAATAAGGATACTAATACTAATAATATACCACTATATGGAATTTGAGAAAAACGTATATTATACTACTAATGAATAGAAATATTATGAGAAAATACGTTCTCATAATAATAATGCATAAAATTTTCAAATACTCATTTTTATATTATAAATATCATTAATTAAATTTTATTATAACAATAAAATTACAAAGTTTTCATATATATTTATATATAGGAATCCCAGGAGACATAGGCCCACCTGGTTTGCCAGGTCTACCAGGTCCTATTGGTTTAAAAGGATCGATTGGTGAGCCGGGGTACCCCGGATTTGCAAATGCAACTTTTGGAGATAGAGGTAACCCTGGATTTAATGGATTATCAGGTAGAAAAGGTGAAAGAGGTAGCTCAGGATACATTGGAACTTCAGGACAAAAGGTATTACTTTTTTATAGTGGTGTAAATAATACGTGTCTATTTCACTGCAATGTCTAGTTATTTAATTAATTTTTCTCCTTATTATAATTTAATAAAATAAAATGAAAAATGTGATGAGTTAATTAATACTGTTATTTCTATACGAAACATTTTAATTAATTTTATTTTAGGATATAATAACGTAATAGACTTAAAAAATGTATATAAATATTTTTTTATAAATTATACGAAAAATTTATGAAAACAATCGATGAGATTTATAACTTTAAACTTAATAATTTAAAGAATTTAAAAAATATTAAATATTATTATTTCCACGTATTTTAAGTCCAACAAAGGAAAAATATGAATTCAGATATAAAACTTATTTGTTTCCATGTGATAAATTATTAAAAATTTAATTTATCAAATTATATGTAACAAGCATTTATATTTAATAAGAAAAAATTGTAGTAATTCATTTTCAAGTTTATAAAATATAAGATATTAGATATATTTCTTATTCTTCCTTTGAAATAAAGATAATAATAATAATAATAATAATAATAATAATAATAATAGAAATAATCCCCTTATTTTTTGTTGTGTTGATTAAGTTGATGCACTATATTGTTAAATATATATTTTAATTTAAAAGGTTTTTGTACTTTGAAGCAATAAATAATACATTAATAAATTGTAATAAAATAGGGTGAACGTGGTGAATGTGGTAAGCCTGGACAAGATGGATTACCTGGCTATGTTGGAGAAAAAGGTGTGATTGGCGATATAGGCCCAGATGGTCCTCCAGGATTACCAGGTAAATTCGCTGAACCGGGAGAAATTGGTAATCCTGGTCTAGATGGCCGACCTGGTATATCAGGCCGCCATGGTTTCAAAGGCTCTCCAGGCGATTATGGATACAATGGACTAGATGGTGTTACAGGAGAGCCTGGTATTAGCTATTCTGGACCAAAGGGAGAACGAGGTGACCAAGGTAATTATAGAACGTGTATTGTTTATTGTTAAAATTTGTTGTATAAATTTATTGTATGTTAAATTATACAATACATATAACATACAATATTATTTAAATTTTATATATAAATATAACATTAAACCTATTATTAATTAGGATATGTTCTATTGCAAACTATTACATATAATTCTAAAGTATATTTGAAATATACTTAGATAGATAACGTTTTATATTCACTTATCCAGAAACAACTTTCCTCGCTATATTACTTGCTGCTTAATACTTATTTACTTTGAATTTAAATTCATTAAATACTTTAATTTAATAATTCTCTCTTTAATGTTCAATTTGAATTTTTACGTATTTTTATTAATAACGTCTTTTTTCATTCATATTTGAACTGGAATTAAGTAAAGATCTGTGATGTCTTATTTTGTTTTGCTCTTCTTTTCTATTATATGATGTACTTTCATCATTCAGATTCCTGTAAATAATTGTTAAGATCAAGCATTTGTGAAAATATTCATTTATAGGACCACGAGGATATATTGGTTACCCTGGAACTGTAGGCCTTGAAGGAAGACCTGGTCTCCCAGGGCCTAAAGGATCTAAAGGTTTCCAAGGTGAACCTGGCCTCTCAGGTTTTACTGCCAAGGGTGAAATTGGTGATATTGGCTTATCTGGATATAGTGGTAGATTAGGAATTCAGGGACAAAAAGGAGATGATGGATTGCCTGGTTTAATAGGAGTTCCTGGATTAAAGGGTGAAAGAGGAGATATCGGTGAAAATGGTCGATCTGGTCCGCGAGGGAAATCAGGTCGAAAAGTAAGTGTAAATAAAGGGTTTAAATGAAAATTAAAAATAATAAACCTTATGATGATTTATAAATTATTTATTTTTAATTAATAAATTTTTTTTTCATTATTTAAACTACAAAATAAAATAAATCTTAGTAATAACAAATCCCCTTTGAATAAATAAAATGTATATTTAAAAAAAAACTGTAGGAATAACTAATGCAGCCTTTAACTTAACTTAAGTATTTAATTACTTAGTTACAGGACATTTAAGGACAAATATTTTAGTATGATTTTTACACTAAGTGCCATTGTCATATTTTCTTATCTCTAAAATGTAACATTTTACATGTGATAGATTATAAAATTCAAATACATAAAGTAAATCACGCTTTAATGTTTAATTTATCTCTTTAATTACTTAAATTTATACTATTTCCACTTAAATATTTTTTTATATTATCTTTCAATTAATGAAACGATAAATGTATCATCATTTATTCATATAAGTTTATAAGCACCTTAAATAAACATTTACATAACTAATATAAATTTCTATTCAGAATAAAAATATTTAAAATGATCGCTTTTATAAACAATTATTGATTAATGTTGTGTCAAAAAATAAAATTTATACACAAAAATAATGTATGTTAGATGAAATTTGTTTATTTTTATTTGTTTTTTATTTATTTTTATTTAAATATAAAAACCAGAGATTCTCAAAGAATTATTTAACTATTTTGTTTATTTGTCATTATAGGGTATAAAAGGTGATGCAGGTTATTATATTCTTCAACCGAAATCTGAAAAAGGAATAATAGGTTCCATTGGTTATATAGGATTATCAGGTATAAACATTAACAATTATTTATTTTAAAAGAATAATATTGTTAATAATAATAATGTTAATAATATTGTTTATATTCGCTAGCAATTGATTTTTTTATTTATATTAGGTGAACGAGGTTTATCTGGAATTATGGGAAAAAAAGGAAAAGATGGCTTACATGGTCGAAAAGGAGAACCAGGTGAATCTGGACTTCCTGGTGCTCCAGGAATAACCGGAATGAATGGATCAGATGGTACAGAAGGTTTACGTGGACCATTAGGTTTGCCTGGACTGCAAGGTAAATTGCAAATTATTAAAAGTAGAAATTACAATTATATTTATATTTTAACCTTTTTTTAGGATACCCTGGTAATCCTGGAGCACCTGCACCATTCGGTCCAGAACCACGAAATCGAGGATTTCATTTTGCTAGACATTCGCAATCTGCAATGATTCCAGTTTGTCCAAAAAATACAATCAAATTGTGGGATGGATTTTCACTTTTACATATCATGGGTAATAGTTATGCACATGCTCAAGATCTAGGTAAACAATATTTTTTACTTAATTTTATTACAAATACATTCTTATGAAATTTAAAAAATTTTCGATATATGAAATATTTAATTAAATTGTAATATTTTTACGTATAAATAAGTAAATATTAAAAATAATTATAAATAGGTGCTGCTGGAAGTTGTGTAAAAAAGTTTTCAGTAATGCCATTTATGTTCTGCAATTTAAACAATGTATGTGATTATGCAAATCGAAATGATTATAGTTACTGGCTAAGTTCTAATGAACAAATGCCGATGTCGATGACACCTATACCATCTCGTGAAGTAGGTTCATATATATCACGTTGTTCAGTCTGTGAAGCTCCTACGCGTCTTATCGTCTTGCACAGTCAATCCATGGCGGTTCCAGAATGTCCTGGTGGTTGGGAAGAACTTTGGATTGGTTATAGTTTTCTTATGGTATGTATACTTCATTGCCTTTCAATTTATTTTATATTTTCCATTAAGAATACACGTTTAAATCTTTTCGATAAATTACTACAGTTTAAAATTTTTTCTTTTTATTAATTTTTACATTTTAAAATTATTAGATACATTATAATATTAAAATTATATAAGTAAAAATTTATTTAGTCGATAATTATTAATAAAAATATGTATTACCGTTATACCTTATATTCAAAAGTATATTCATAAAAACATTTTCAAATCTGTACTTTATTAAAATGCTACTATTTTATGGAAGATAATAAAATTGATAAATATTAGATTAAAATTTATGACATAATTAAATTCACAATAAATGCATAATAGTTACATAATTATAACTATGAATGTAAATTCTATCAAATATAAATCAACAACTAGAATGATATAAACTTTGCAATTAATCTACATAATAATTTACATAAAACTTATAAATAAAGATTATAATTTATAGAGAATTTAATGTTATTGATAAAAAAAACAACATTATAAAATTTATGGTGAATAAATAAGTTATATATATAACAGCTTATATTAATTTTATTACAGCATTAATAAATTAGAGTTCCTTTAATAAAATAATTTAAAACTATTTTATTGCAAATTTAATTGATTTCGCGATAAAAATACTATTATATATATATATATATATATATATATAATAGTATTTTTATCGCGAAATCAATTAAATATAGATATTATTAAATTAGATATATATATATATATATATATATCTTTAGCAAATCATTGATACTATTTATAAAAGGCATTCTTGTCTTCGCTTGTTATTTTTCAATTCCTGTTATTTAAGTTATTTTTTTATAGTGTGTTTGTTATATCTTATAAATTAGAATATAAAAAAATATTTCATTATTTATGTTTCCTTTATTATAATATAAACAGATTGTTTTAAATGATTTTAATATTTTATTAAGTATCAACAATATTTAAAATCAACAGAAATAGAAATAATTTTTAACAGTCTTAAGTCCTAAGTAAGTATACTCATACAAAACGTTAAGATGCAGATACGTAATCTATTACAGAAATTATTCATAAAATATAAGTTAAAATAAAGTATTTATTATTAATGTATTTATTATACCAGTAATTATTACAGTAGTCGAAAAAAAATTTGAATATAAAAGACAATCTTTTTATTAATGCTTAAATCTGATTTTCAGCACCGAGATGCTGGTGCAGCAGGTGGAGGCCAAGCCCTTTCCTCACCGGGTTCCTGTCTCGAAGAATTTCGTGCTAGACCTTTTATTGAGTGCCGTGGCCTTGGCACATGTAACTTTTTTTCCACTGCTGTTTCATATTGGCTAGTCACCGTGAAGGATTACGAAATGTTCCGCAAGCCACTTCAACAGACACTTAAGACCGATCATACCTCACGCGTCTCTCGTTGCGCTGTGTGCATTCGACGACGTGTGACTGAATCGCCAGTCGATCGTAATCGGTACGCACACATTAGTAGCCACAACGATCTGCGTCAACCCACGGCTAAATATTATGCAGAGAACACCAGCAATGAAATTGAAATTAACCCTGAAAATCAAAGTTACTATTACCAACATCAACGCAATTCCACAACCAACTGGTTGAAGTCAAAACAACATCAGGAACAGTACTCCAGTAGGCACTATCCATATAGGCGGCCCCAAGCGCGCCTCAAATGGAGATCACAAAACCACAAGCCTTAAAAAGTAAAAAAGTAATAGAAAACTAAACAAGGCATTAATTGTTTCATTAATAACTCTTCTTTCTCTAGCGTTAATGGAACATCAACTCTTAGTGAACCGAGACATTTACATTTACACAATATTATATTTTATCAACCTCTGTTCATCAATTGATTGTCTTTAGAAAATTAAGAACGTTTAAGTAACTTAAACTTTGTCTTAATATACGTGAAATTGAAAATCAATACTTTATTAATAAAATAAAACCACTTAATAAACTTTGCAATGTAAAATAACTATTATGAACAAATATTATCTTAACTAATTACGATTTAAATAATGACTTCAAAAAGATTGCCTTTAAAAAATAGTACATTATGCTATACTAAAAATAGATTATAATTTTTAGAAATACTACTGACAATTAACAATTTCAAAAAATTGTTATCACACTCAAAACATAAAATTCATTTATATTGACACCGTTTTATTTTGATACAGATGAAATTTAATATATAACAGTACATAGATTATTATAAAACAAACCTAGTTAATTAATTTAAAATTATTATAATCAATTTTAAGTTAATAAATTTACATATTTTAATTAGAGGACTGTAATTATAATTTTTTGTATGATAATATTGTAGTTTTATAATATATTGATCAATTTCAGTATAACAAACTAATTATTATAATAATATATTTATATTTGTAAAATATGAAGAACTGCCAAGTTTTTATACAATAAAAAGTATAATCTCAGTTATATATAATTATTTGGATTGACTAAGATAAACATTTTTTTTTAATTTATGTAAAAAATCCTTCAAAGTAATGCATTTTTTAATCACAAATGTATGTGTATAAATGAAATAAGTTATGATTCGATTTTTTATATCAAATTTATGCCCATAGGTATACTTTTTTAAATATTTATAATCTGACTAGCATAAAAACAAAGCAGTCACTATAATGTTATATTATACTTCTCAAACTATTACCAATTTCAATTTATTATTAGCCAATTAATTATGCTTTAAATAGATATTTATCAAATCAAGAGATAATTATTTCACATTTTATATTTTTTATCTTTTCAATATTTGTATTACTAAATTGTACCTTTATGTACTAATCTATAAATAAAATATAATATAAAATAAATGAATACGTAACTTTACTTTAATTTTAATATACCCTAAAAATAAAAGAATCATTAAATTGAAAAGAAAATAACTAGTTTCGATTAACATCTACATATAAGTACTATATATACCTACTTCATTGTTGCACACACAAAATCCAGTAATGTACACATCTGTTTTACTCAACGATACTCACTATAATATTGAGTAAAATATAAAGTCAAAATGTTTCAAAAAAATAAAATAAGTGAATCTTAGTTTGTTTTTAATTATATTTAGTAAGACAATAATTTTTTTAAGCATCAAATAAACAATAACAACAAAATATATTTTTTCTGATAAATTAAAAACTAAAATTTGTTGATATAGAATAAAATATTTTTTTATCAAAATCTTAGACTAATTTTCATCGTTAATTTTCATCGATTCATGCTACCAGAAATACATAAATTCTTAAACAATGCATAAGTACACATGTACCATCAAGGATAAAAGCATTAAAGAAACAATATTCTCTTATTAATCAAAAATAATAAATTCAAGCAATCTCTGACTGTTAAGTACAATGACGCATAATCACGAATTCTGACCTATTAATTTTATTATTCTATAAGAATCTTTTGTGCATTAAAGAAGGAACTGTATGATATTCTTTGTTTCACAATTTAAATTTCAAAAATTGAAACATAAATATGTTTTTAACAAACAAAAATCATTTTTTTTATTTCATTAATTTTCAATTTTATTAATTTTAAACCTTCAATTGAAAAATAAAAATGTGGTTTTTATATTCTTATGTATTTGTTAATAATAAATATTTCTATGCATAAAACGAAATCTTTATAAATAAAAAAATTAAATTCTTTTAAATTTTCTTAACTCTCAAGTAACTATATAATTACAATATATATTACTAGTATACTAGTATATTATTTTACAATTTATATTATTTTTACAAACCCAATTAAATTTTTTTTTTAATAGACCAATTTGTTTGAACAAATTTCAATATCATTGAACTGATTACAATTACTTGATTTCAAATTACTTATACACCATTTTATTTTGTTTTTTATATCACAGGTCATTTAAAACACAATTTTTGCTATTCAACTTCTTTAAAAAATAAATGTACATGATTATTGTCATTTAAAATGACTTTTTTCATATTTTTTTTGTTAATATTTTAATTTCCAATTTAATAGTAAATAATATTATACTAAATAACCAAATATAAATTAGAACTATTTTATTGAAAATTAAGAACATGTAAATAAAACTCAAAGTTCTTATTAGCATATTTTTTAATTAAAATAGATTGATCAAGTGCGAAGAAATAGACAATGCATTTTTTACACACAATGACTTGGATTGATCACAAAAGAACGTCGTACGCCTCTGTGCCATATACAAAACCTACTAAACTTAAATGAAACATTACAAGTCTTGGCAACTACAAAGAATCTGCATCGAATCTTCTTCGTATAAACATTTAACGAATGTGTTTGCACGCTCATTCATACAACCTTAACCTTAAAACGTATCATTAACAATGAAAAATTACGTAGGTCAATTTATCGATACATAAATGTGTGTTATATCTTATTTCATTTCTTGCCTTACTATTTTTTTTAGACATCTATCTCTGCTGTTTACCCTCTTTTGTTACTAGAATGTCATGCAGCAACCATAGCTCATTTAATTAGCCCTCTCTACTGGTTCCGTCTTGTTCATGCTTTCCACTATCTCTAGTAATTCCTTTTGTACAATATGCATATGTGCATATATGAATACAAACAAAAATTAAACATCACTTAACACCTGTATAGATATATTTATTAAATTGTCATTAGATGCACATATGATCTATTTGTATGACATAAATTATCTATGTATACAGTATGCATAAGTCTACATATTCGTAAGCATTCGCGCGAAACTCATCAACAAGTTCTTTTCATAACAATTTCAATTCTTTTTAAAATTAGATACATGTAAGATTACTAAAATGACTCGCACTTCAAATAGGTGCTTCCTCGCGCGTGTAGACATGTATACATATCATAATTCCAACCAATTTTGTAAATATATTAATACAACAAAAGATCACTTTTACAATTTTTATTTTTTAAATAATGGAACCAAACATTGAACTTTGAATTAATCATAGCATGAAAAACCCAATCAAACATAAACTATTGCTCGCATCGACTGTAACAAATTATTTATAACTATCAATAACTGAAGCGGTTAATAATCGGTATATTAAAAACAAAATGTGAATTTACAGACAGGAAATGATAACTATTTTATTTTTTTTATGTAACTAAACCATCCGAAAATTATAGTTTAATTCCTTGTTTTTTTCTTTTTAATGAACAGTGAATTATTACAGAAATTATTTACTTACGTACATTTGAAAATTTTATATATCTACATACGAATTAAATTTAATAATAAAAGTAGGGATATTCACAGACCGAATGTTTTATTAAAATGAGAAAATCTCATAATTTTATTTTGTGTTCAGTAAGTTCTAGTCATGTAAAATATTTTATTTTGAATAACTTAATACAAAAAGCTTAGAAGATAATTCATAATTTTGTACATATAATTCTTAAGTTATTCATTTTTACATATATAATTATAACAGAATTTGATTTGCATTACAACCATCTACTTGTAAACAATACATTATATTGAAGAAGTGTAAAAAATAATACGAATTCAATACTTAATATAAATCAATTATAGTGGACAACAAATAATTCAAGAATTAAGATTTAACATGTACCTTAATGGAATCATAAATTATCTTCCAATTATAAAAAATATCGATACAGTCACATCATATATAAGAATAAAATATAAAAACTTCTTACAAAAAGAATAATATAACATTTCCAGCTTGTTTAATCACATGGTACATATACTGTGAATTTTTATTTATATTAAACACTAACAGCGAGTTATTAAACTTCAACGAAAAAATACTTATTTTATTAAGTAACAAAAAAGAGAATAGGTGACACGCAATGGCCTTTAAAAAAATCACACATTTGCTAATATAAGAAAAAGAATGCATGACATTTTCTGTCTGAAAATTCTATTTTTGGAGATACAGAACAACTTAAATATTACAAAAATTTGAACTTTATCAATTTTCTAGAATATTTACTTGATCTAGCATGTACTTTTATCGATACATTTCTTATCAAAAATACATGGATTTCGTATCATACGCGTATATATATATATATATATATATATATATATATATATATATATATATACACACACACATGCAAATCTAATTCTCTACAGAAACTGGTGTAAGATTAAAAAATATAGAAGTTCTTTAAAACATCTCAAACTCAAGACATTACAAACAAATACAAATAAAAATAATGTAATGATTGTACAGTTCTTTCATGTGTTCTGACTTTTATATCAATCGTACATTGTAATAATTCAATGTTGTCTCATCTTTATAACAATAGATGTCATTATGTATAAATTTTTAGTGTGCAATTAAAATCCTAAAAAGAATTACTTGACAGGACTATGCAAACAAGATTCATTTTATTTTTATTTTACAGGCCCTCTTGCTCTTTACATTCATTTACTTACTCACTTGCTAAATCATTCACTTAAACATATTTTTATATGCATACATCCATACATGTATATAATATATGCTTGCATTTAAGTTTTCTATTTAGGTCTGTCAAATATTTACAGAACGATGCGTTTAATGCGTTCATACAACCTTTTTGTTCTATAACATGCAAAAAGAATTTTATGGAATTACATTATTTTACAGATAAATTGATACGTTCATTCTTTTACCATTAACATTGGTGCAAGAAACGTATTTTCGATTGATTACAATTACAACAGTCGAATTGCTCAGCACATATTCCCATAAGTACTCTTGTTTAGAGTAAAAATATGCACACGTCAGGTTTGACAATATTAAAATTAATGCAATAATAATGATTATTATCATTATTGTAATTTTAATAGAAATAGTAATAATAATTACAGTAATAGTAATAGAATAAGTATTATTTCAATAATCAAATAATAAATCTTAATATTATTATTACAAGATTTAAAGTAACAATTTTATCAGTAATAATGATAATGATGATGTCAAAATAATAAAATAATAAAATAATTGTTATTATAAGTTACAATTATAATAACAATAACAAGTATTCTTTGTCACAATTTGGTTGCAGATTCTTACAATCACAAATATATTATTCAGAATATAATATAATTCCAGATGTTAAATTAAGAAAAACGTCATAGTATTCTATTCTTTTCATGTATACAATAATAAAATCTATAATTATTCTATTTTCAACAGCCAGTAGTATAATAAAGTATACCTTTGAGGTACCTACGTAGTTTGTTTTTCGTTAATAATACTAAATACAATGAAACCAGCATTCAAATGACATCATCACCGATTAGATGCACAAAAATTTTCCTCGATCTCGCTGTTTGTACCATGTACATGAATGTCATTTCTATATACAATTCGAGAATCGACTATATTATTCATAATAAATAATAACAAATTAATTGATAAATATATATGTCGTCTCGAAAGTTGATTAAAAAATATTATGCTTTATATTTGAAATAATTTGTTTCAAAAATTCTATCGCGATTTAATAAAATATATCGAAGTTCGGTTGCTTGATAACCTTTACTTTCCGCGGATCCATACACATCGCCTTACTTTTATACATTTAATGCCAGATAGTAAATTCTTAAATGAACAAGGAACTCATCTTATACACATCTCGGATATCGACTGGATAGTCGAATAAAATATACGCAATCCTTGTTCATTGTAAATAGTATTGCTTTGCTAAAATCAATGAATGCATTACATAACAGTTTTCATTGTATTTAGTCATGCACGCTGCGTGCTACCTTAACGTAATATTACATATAATACAATAGTATTCATAACATATAGAACATTTTTTTATATATGTGCTTTATCATATATATATATATATATATATATATATATATATATATATATATATATATATATATATATATTTTTTTTTATGTATTCCACTTTTTATTTTAAATCAAATGTATATTACATATGCTTCTTTTTTTTGACACGAGCCACCCACTAGTCACTCTGACAACAGCTTTTGCAATAAAGATGATTTTGTATCACCTCGAGCCACTTCTTCCATAGTAGTCTATAATAAAACCGTAAATTTGATTAACTTGTAATAATTTAAGAATGAATGCTATTTTAAACACGGAAATTAATAAAATGTAAAATAAAATAAAAGAACATAAACATAAAAATGAAAAGAAAATTTTGTGGAAATGTAAATCTTCTATATCATTGTATTATTACATATATTTTTATTAATTTATAAAAAAATCTTAATTAAGACAGAACTAATTCTTCAATTTATTCATGCATTAAATAAAAGTGACTCTTATAATAAGAAAATAATTCATTAAGCATAAAAATTTTACTTCACTCAACTGTGAAAAAGCATCAGGACCGTAAAGAAATACAAATTATTTGAATATGGCAGTATTTTTACATCGAAAATAATAACTAAAGAAATTTCTACATAATATGTTTTTCATACACCAGCACCATGTTTGGAAATAAAAAAAAAATAAACAATTTTTCAAAAATCAATAACTGTCAAATCTAAAAATGATAAAAAGATATTTGGCAACGTAAATCTGTCAATGAAGGCCACTTCTCATGATACTATTTAAGCATTTAATTTAATCAATTATAACATAATCTATAAAAAAATATATTCGAAATATATTTCAAACAAAATTATGAAAATTTTATTTTTATTGTATATTACAAATTATATTTCAAATGTAAATACGTAAAAGTTATATTTTGCAATCGTAAATGTGGAGCATTACAATATACTAAATTAAAAATTAAAGGACTATAAATACTCAGTTATGTATTAAAAAAAAAAAACAGAAATAAACATTTTAATCATGCACATAAATTAGTATATATCATCTAAGTCTTACAATCAATATTTATTAAATAAGAAAGTAATATACAAAAAAAAAATTTTAAACTGAATGTCGTGCATTATATAAAATTTGAAGCCAAGCAAAGAGGGAAGACAAAGAGCATACAAATAAAAAATACGTAAAATAATTGTCGAAGTGGGTTCTTACCCTGGAGGACGAGAGGGTGGTTCCGGCACTACCAATTGCCCAACTCTTGGCAGAGCCATCGCTAATCAACGCATCACCTAGTTAGAACATCGACAACGATATACGTATTACCAAAATCAATTACTGCGTTTTATAATAAAAAACTTTGTATTTCATTTGTTATTTTAATTTATTTATCTTTCCTTTTTTCATAAGCAATTACGGAAAATGCGCATTAGTTTTAGTTAACTAATAAATTGAATTCGCGACACAATTGTTATTAATTATTTTATTTATCAAATTAAATACAGTCTGCAATACTTTTTCACAGCCTGGTTTATATGCTTTGCTTAGTAAATAATAAAATTGTGATAATTTTTCTTTTTATCTAAACGTGTATATAAGTAACTCTTAACGAAATTTTAGTCTGTCGCGCGTGAACTAGAAATTAATCAATTTAAGTAAAACATACAAACAATAAATAGTATAGGATTAGTAGTACAATATATACATAGTTTGTAAAAACAAATTAAAAACATAATAGATACATACCTCCCGATGCAATATCGTAATTTAAACCAAGGGATTCTAAATCTTCTTGAGACACCTGACCAGAAATGTTGTTTTGAAGATTATTCGGTATCCTCTGTTGTTGTTGTTGTTGTTGTTGTTGTTGTTGTTGTTGTTGTTGCTGCTGTTGTATTCTCGCATCAACTACTGTCCTTAATTCTTTTCGAACATACTCCGAATTTATACCACCTGAACTACTTCCATTACCTGAAAAAAAATAGAATTTTATGTCTTTACTATGAAACAACTCAATAAATATAAATTATTTGCCAGAGTACTGCCTATGGACAGTTTACTTATTAATTTTCTTCTTAAAGAATGCCAAGGGATTAATATACAAAAGATGACATATGACATCGATTTTAATTATCAAATATTGCGGACTAAATTTTACATTCACAATTTCTAATACTTTCTTAATTATTATATATTGAGAAACATATATAAAGATAGTCCTATATTAATTGTCACTTAGATAAAAGAGACTATATTTCAGAATATATCTTCTTATGAAAATACACTTTAATTCACATAAATAAGCATTTATAAAAATCTTCTTATTCATTAATGCAACAAAAGAATATTATATTTATAAATACCAATTAGACTGATTAGCTTTAGAAGATATTCAAATAAATTATATTGAAATAAAATAAATGTGATTGGTGATTATGAGTGTTAAGAACATTAATCATATATGCATTATTAAAACAAATTATTGTTTATAGTAATTTTTTATAATAATTAATATTGTAATTTTTAATTCTGTTAGACTTAATAAGATTAACTTATTAATTTTACTCTAAATATATATCTTGAAATATTTATTACTCATACCATTGAACCTAATTCGTAAATTTAATTGTTTGATAATTTATTTTAATCTAATATACAAATATATCTATCAGCAATAATAATAATTAAAGATCTTTTGTATATCGTTAACAAAATTGTTTATTACTATTTTATCTTTGAAGACTTCAACATTCAAATCCATGTTTGTATATGATTATGTTATCTATACTATTGATTCAAAGCCACTAATTTGACTGAATAAAATTAAAATGAGTAGAAAAACATGAATAATATTACACAGGTGCCATTGATGAGCTGTAACAATGAAGAGCCATGCAGTACATGAATGTCGACGGCGATAAAAGAAAGTATTGTCAGTATATTATTGTCGAAAGTCACTATTCGATTATGTAAAATACGTTACATTTTAATATTAATGTTTAACAATAAATCATTTTTATATGAAGAAAATCAGCATGCTCCCAACATAAGATTATGTATGAAAGAAGAATGAAAAATATAGTATATTTACAAAATTTAGCTTTAGTGATAATGATTCATGTATTCTTATAGATGACAATGATTCGTGTATTCTTATAGATGTCATTATAGACTGATTTAATGAAAAGAAGATTGAAGAAGGCAGACGTTAAAACACAAAGAATCAATAGACATATTTGTGATTATTAAAATATGTTCCCATAACTAATTCCGTACCTCGGGTATATGCAGAGAAAATAGATATAAAAATAGTTTTATTAATCGTCGGTCAATTATATTTATAAAAGTAAGTAGTACACAGTAAAAACACGTCATGTAACAGGGGGTAATGTGAGGATGATAGCGTAGTGATCGTCACATGACATGAAGAGGTCACATGACTTACCACCTATTTGGTGACTAGCAGAATTACTGGAAGGTGGAGGCCTAATTTCTTGCATATCTCCCGGGCCTGACTGATAGAGAGTAACAGACGTCCGATCGTAACAGTACTGACTACTCTGTACACAGGCGGCGTTGTGGTATAACATAGATGAGTGTTGATGGTTTGAAAAGTGTTGGGTATTGTTGGCATTATGTTGATTATGAGTTGGTGTTGCAGGGCAACCTGAGAGAGGATGACTAGGTGATGATAGAGGTTGCTCCTTGCTCACACCGCCATAATGACAGGGTGAACCAACCCCACCTGCAACATTAATCGTGTCTAGGATCTTGCTGCTACGCTTCTTGCGTGATTTTTTATCTATTCGATAAGCTGCTTTACTCTTCGATAGAACGACTGGTGGTGTATTTGCTTGCACTGTTAGAAGACAAATATTAGCTAGCACATATATATATTAAACAATATTAAATAATTTAATGTATAAAAATATTAAATGAAGGGTATAAATTATAAATCAAATGGGCAGTATAAATCAGCTGCATATATTAAAGAAATTTCATTGAGTTATTTCATTGCTATTACTACAGCAATATTAAAAAATCCACTTTACTGAAATAATACTACTCAACATAAAATACTGAAATATTATTCATATAATTAAATACGATTATTATATAATAATAATTTCACAAGTTATTTAGTATGAAAATCAATTTTATATTAACTGAATAACAAAAAATCTGTATATATGTAATATAAAAAACAAAAAAATAACGTTTTTTCTGCGTTGTAATGATGAATAATTATACAATAATTTCTATCTATCGAATTTGCATTTATACCACAAATAGATATTCATAAGTAATAGAATCATTATTTTTTCTTGACAATGGTAAATTTGATTATTACTTATGCCTATCGTACAATAAAAATATTAATCCTCTTTATAATAATACTTTATTGTTTTACATTACCTGATAATTGCGTTGTTGCAGATGCGTTAGACGAGGTGCGCTGTAGTCGATATTGTGTCGATTGGTTCGTAACATTAGAATTTGGAACTGGTGAGAATTGACTGGCCGTAGGCGACGCGGGTGGTGGAAAGGCTTCTGCCGAAAAAGGAGACTGCCGGGCTGAGACCGGCGTACCCGGTGATGATATCGATCTTTGTTGCTGTTGTTGTTGTTGTTGTTGTTGTTGTTGCTGCTGTTGTTGCATTACTGGTTGTTGAGCAGACTGCTGTTGCTGCCGCACCTGATTCACATTAAACATCCGTGGACTACCCGCGTAATTTCCCTAAAAAATGTTTGTTTAGAATAACTTTTGTTATACTTACTTTAAAAATTAAAATTTATTTGGTAACTTTGTAATTGATTGATCTTAAATAATAACTATAATATATTTTGATTTAATTAATTTATTAATTAAAATTATTAGTCAAAATATCCAGTTATACTAAGAGAAAAAGAGAATTACTATTATATAGAAATTTGGATATCTGAATTTAAAAAAATTATAATTATGAATTATTGATTCTTCATTTTATTAGTATTTTGTAAGGAATAATTATTTCATTGGTTGATTTAACGACTAAAATTATTTGTAATGAAATATTGTGTTTAAGACTATCTAATTTTTCTTAGTGATTGTAGAAAATATTGTGTAGAAAATAAAAAATATACTTACTTGCTGTGTCACACGAGGAGATAAAGGTTGTGGATGTGAAAAAGATAATATACCAGCTGGAGAATGGGGCGAAAGCCTAGCTGTAGCAGAAACTTGTTGACCAGTATTGAAATTGTTATTAACAGCAGAGCTAAAAATATTAATTTTTATAAGAAATTATAAAAATGATTGTGTATATATAAATACAAACTCATTACTTTAAAAATTACTTGTATTAATTTATTTATATATACATACTGTTGAGATAATGTGGAAGAATGAGAATAGGGGTGAGTAAGGCGATGCTGCCCTTGAGGCATTTGGACGGATCCTCCATAACTCGGCGATACTTGTGAATCTGGCACGCTAGATCGCTACAACAAATCACATTTCTATTGTCTAAAACTTAAAAATATAACAAAATACGTATCCCAAGTATTTTCACCTGTAAAGAAACGTTTGGAGCAACAGTATTATTTAAAAGACTGTCGATGTTGTGAATACCAGTCGCTATTTGGTCCGGGGCTGTTGCATTTGAAGGTATAAGTAATTGTTGCTGCTGTTGCTGTTGCAACAATCTTTGTTTTAGTTGCTGCTGTTGTTGTTGTATCAATTTACGTTGTTGTAGTTGCAATTGTTGTTGCTGTTGTAAGGAAGTAAATTGTGTAGTAACTTGTCGAATATTTGTTGGTTGCGTATTTAGACGTATTCGAGAATGTTGTTGCTGCTGTTGTTGTGACGATTGTTGTTGATAAATAGATGAAGATTGGTAATTGTTACTTGATGTAACAGATGTATTCACTAACTATTAAAAAAAAATTGTTTGAATTGTATATCAGTATTATAATTTTTCTTATTTATTAATAATAACATTGTTAATGATATTAATGATCATGATATTAATATTTAAAAATATATTATGAAATTTAAAAAATAATAAATGAATTAATAAGTACTCATTAAAAATATGAGTATAAAATTAATTTATTAACACAAATTCAATTATAACTCTAAAAACAAAGTTAATAGTTTTGGTATGATCTACTAATGTGAATTATTTAAATAATTTCTCCAAACATTCAGATTTATGTACATTTTAATTTATTACATTTTCCATATGAAATATATGGCTTTTATTGAATAATATCTGTTTTGAAATTTGGAAAACTTACAGTTGTTGAATAAGCTGGAGGAGTACCAGGTATTGTAAGATTGGAAGAAGTAGGATTAACAGCAGTCTCAATCTGCATTAATGATTCCTGTATGGCATTTATTGCCAATTTTTCATTTCGTTGTGCTTCAACTGCATTTAACAAACTAGCTATAGCTGTATTATCTTAAATGATAAAAATAATTATATTGAAATAAAAATTTTTCTAAATATTTTATATTTATATAGTATATTCTGTATGTACGTATAAAATATGTACCTGCAATACCTTCTGGTACAATTTCTATTACTTGATCTAAAATATCTGATAAATCTGGATCAGAAGCAGACTGAATATCCCATGTTGAAGGATCTGAAGACTGTCTATATTCTCGATTTCCTATAAAATCGGAATCCACCTGTTCTATTTGAGTTCTTTGTTGCTGAAAATTAAAACAATCGATAAATCATTGTATAACTGAAAAGCACAAATATAAATAATATTAATATTTGCTGATAATTTCAATTAAATTAGTTAGTTTTTTATAAAATGTATATACAATGTTTATATTATATTGAAATATTAATTGATTTTATTGTAGTCAAATAATATAATTTAATGAATTAATGTACTTTAATAAAAATGAAAAATGTTGCTATTTAATATTACATAATAATTTATGATAACAATAGACGTTTTCTTGCTAATTCGAATAGTAATTTGTAAAAAATCACATTATAATAAATATTGTTATCTGAAAAATAAGCATATAAGCATACAATTTAAAACAAAAAAAAACTTTACATTAAAATGATACATGTTGTCTCTACATGTGTTCTCCTTAAAAAAATATTCGTTTGATCATATTAAGAAAACATGAATAAAAATAAAGTATCGATGCCTTCACTAAAAAATTAATTATAAAAAATATTCATGATATAATTAATTTTTAATTACATTACTATTAGTACTGCATTATATTATAATATATAAAGTCTGAATAATATAAAATGTTATATTTTACGAAATTTTTTTACAAATATGTAATAATAAATTATTTCATTATTTATTTGACTAAATATTTACAAACATATGTTTCTTTTACAAATGAGTCTACGTATTAAGTTTTAAAACCAGTAATTTACAGCTACAAATGCTAACTTTAATCACATGGATCATAAAAGTTATATATATAATACTATATTATATCAAATAAACGATACTTACTAACTGTGTGAGATAGATATTGGTTGTTTGACGAGGTAATTGTCTAGTTTGATTTTGTGTAGTTCTTGCAGACGTTGCCGTTGTCGTTGTCGAATTACTGCAAACGGTTTGTATACTAGCCCAAGATTGTTGTTGATGTTGCTTGCTCCGATCCAGAACACGGGGTAACTTGTCTTGTGGAGTAGCTGATATTACGGAAGCTGGAATAGGTGGTATCGTTGCAGGTTGGGTTGGTTGTTTCGCTAATAAAGAGGCCAACATTCGATTCTTTTCCCACAGCTTGCTCGGATTACTGCCAGAACCACCACTACTACCGCTGCTACTGTTTCCAGTGGAGGTTACCTGAGATCCATCCATAGAACGCTTCACCGCAATATTCAACTCGCCGTCCTCAACAGACCTTTTTTGCCCAGCACTCAAACTGACACTATTGCTAGTATTGTTCTCCAATTGTGATGATGATGGAGAAGCGTTACGAAAACCAAGACTTCGTAGCAGAGGATCGTCCTCGCGATTTTTCTGCGTAAACGTATTAGACATTTTTAGTGATCTTGTTTTCGAATTATATTTAATTTTTTTAATTATATTTAAATTTACTTTAATTGAAATTGCGCACTTTAAAAATAAATTTTGAGTATGAAATAAAATATTACTTCTATTAAATAACTGAAGAAGTTTATTGATTTATAAATAAAACTTGTATATAATATTTGTATTTTTGTATTTCAATTATTTTCAAATTATTAAAATTATTATTAAAAACATTGTTATCAATTATTGCATATTCAAAAACTTGTTGATTTAAATCTAGTATAAAAAAATTAAGAATATAAAAATCACTCGAAAATATTTGCAGATATTAAAAACTAATAGGTTACTTGATCATGATGTTTCTTTTCGTCATCAGGATCCTTCAAAAGTTGCGTAAGAAGTTCATTCCTCTTCTTCAAGCCTGCTCGCGATTCCTCATCATCATCGTCGTTCTTCTCGTTGAGCAACTACAAATGAGATAAAACTAAATGAAGTCAAGAACTGCGAAGAGATAGGAAAAAAGTCAAACCTGGAGAAGCATATTGTTGCTAGGTCCCACATTAGACTTATGCTCATGCTGAATGGGTTTTGGTTGTATCAGCTGGCTTGGGCTGTTGCGCATACTCTTGGTACCTGAATGCTCTGCCGAATGATAGTCGTCTTCATCTTGTTGATTTAATAGTATTTTGAGTATCCTATTGGTCTGACTGGGTTTATCAGCCTCAGTCCCCGTTTGACCACTATTTCCAACTGAAACATTATCCTGACCATTGTCATCGCTTGTACTGTTACCCTTGGTCAGCAAGTTTCTAAGCCGACCTGATTCCGTCGATACTATGCTATTTTGTGATTGTGATTGTTGTTCCGAATCTTGTTGCTGTTGACTAGGACCGTTAGAACGATGATCCATGGGGCTGGATTGTAAAGCTGAAGACACTCCAACAGTACCCAGATTTGTCGTCTGCGACTCTTGCAGTGGACTGAAGGGGAAGGAATTACTGAAAGTGTGCGAAGTACTGGGACTGAAAGCTCTCAGGGGACTGCAATGTGCAGGTACAACTGCGTTTGTTTGACTACTTGGAGAGGTTGACACAGCATTTGGTTGCGATGTCGGTGTTGAGCCCGATTGTTGCTGTTGAGTCTGATGTTGAGGTTGCTGTTGTTGTGACAATGATCCAGTTTGACTCGTTCGCGACTCAGATCGCCCGCCTTCAACTGCCCAGAAACCTGGGGTTCCATCGAGCTCAAGAGTTGAACTGGGAAAGAGATCGAATTCGAGGTCCATACTGCCTGGTTGAAATTGGTTGAAACCAGCAGAAGCAGTAGATACTTCAGAGTTCGACCCGGGATAATTAACGACGGACGAACGACCCCCACTCGAAGACGTTGATGACATGTTGAGACCACTCGTCTGACCGTTGACGTGACCCGCTACCGACATTAGCGGTCCACCCACGTTATTATTATTACTGTTACTGTTACTATTATTTGCACTACGTATACTAGAATGTCCTGAGCAGAGTTTCGAGTTGTTGGAAAGTTGGCCACCCTCGAGAGGCATTAAGTCATTGTCCCTGCGATGAAAAAATTATAAGATATTAGATTATTAGATAAGATTAGATAAGATATTATAAGATAATTATAAGAATATTATAAAATAATGGTGAAATGATGCAGTATTTATATTCCAAGAATAAAATAAATAAATTACTCTGCCAAGTTAAATATTTTTATTTTATAATTACATGATAAAAAATTGTTAGACAAATTTATACTTGTATATATATATTGTGTTTCAAAGTAGATTCAAATTTAAAAACTCATAAATTAGAATAAATGATACAAAAAAAACATAATTATTCAAAGTATAAATAGAAATTTAACATATATAAATATAAAAATATTAACTAGAATATCTAAAGGACATAAAATTAATCATTATTACGATTATATGCAGATATTTATAACTTTTTTTTAATCTTGAAAAATATAAAGTTATAATAATTTGTTCATTCTATTTTAATAATATAAATTCCCGCGCATAACTATACACACACTAACCCATAAATACTTTTTCGATGTATATTATAACAATACAAATAATACAATGCTAATCATCGCTACTATTAATATTATTATTACAATTTATATTATAATATATAATATAATAACAAAACCTTATGCGATTAAAAATGTTATCCGTCAATATAATGTTATATGTTTAAATAATTCAAAATATTTAGATTATAAATTTCAAAATGTGAAGTTAAATATGTTAGTAATAAAAATTAAACAACGTTTATGTAATAAATTAAAATTGAAGGAAATTTAAATTTATGATTTTAAAATCTAATTTTTAATTAAAAACTTATAAATTGCATTATTTTTTACCTTTAATACATTACGTTCAAAAAATTTTTTTCACTTTGACTCTCTTCATGTTTTAAAAAATATTGTAATACTACGACAAATAATAAAAATTAATTCTATTAAATTCCCCTTCTCGTTATATAATTTTTATTAATAATATGAATATTATATTAGTAGTGTGATAAATTTATAAAAACAAAACAAAAACAGTTTTGCATTAATTTATTCAATTAAAATAAAAAATAATTTAGACAAATTGTTTATATTATATTCAATCATAATACATTTAATTGTAATATATTTTAAGAAATAATTATTTTGTCTATTTATATATTTCATATAAAAATATTCTTCTTAAAATTAATTTAAAGTAAGATTAATATAAGAGAAAAGAAATAAATTCTTAAACTTTTAATTGTGATTGGATGATTTATGAAAATTATATTTATAATTTTTCGTTGAATTAATATTTAAAAATATATAATAAATAAAATATCTAATTTATGGATTTTTTTTAATAATAATGTATTATTATATAGTTTGATTTTAATTTGTCGTTACATTTTTTGATTTATTGAAAATTCATTAAATTTTACAAATGTAATTTTAACTTTCTATTCCAAAAAGATTGTAATGCAGATTTTATAAATTATTTAAAATGGATTGTTTAACGAATAATAAATATTTCAAAATAATTTAAGAAAATACAATTTGAACTTGATAAACAGAAAGTTCGTAAAAAAACAATACTAATTATAATACTCAAAAACTACTTGTATTATATAATTTTCATTTCAATTATTCTTTTTCACAGTAATACTTTATCGCTAAAGTAGTTAGCAATTTCGAACTATTTAGATTTAATTATTATACGTACTATACGTATTATGCGTAATATTATTTATTTTTATAGTTATACATATATATGAATACATACTAACTAAATATAAATGTATGTACATATCCATATATACATACATACAATATACACGTATAATAAGTAAATATAAATAAGTAATATTTATGAATAATTAACTTATTTAATTTATTAAATTTTTATGTATTTGAGAAAGTAGAATTTAAAAAAATAATTATATATATATATAATTTATTATAAAATAAAGTATTGTATTAATTATGAACTATTTACACTAGTTTCGATAACTAATTAAAAATTTTGTTTAATAAAAAAATATTTCGAATAAAAATATTTTATTTATCTTCTTGTTAATATTTTATAGTACTGTTTTTTAAAATTTCCGTTTTTGTAGAATTACATGTTTTGTTGTTTGAATATTTCAAATTTTTTACTAGTAAAAATCACATTTACATATAAATATATTTTTCCATAATTAGATCTTTTAAAAATTAAATTATTTCTACATACAAAGAATTATTTGGAACAACTTCATTTTTAAATTTTAAATACATAATTAATTTTTCTTCGATAAAGTTTTAATGACTAACCACTTCTTAATATATTATTTTTCTTTAGAATATATAATTAATATCCTAAATTACCACCCATAAAATATATAATTAAATAATAATAATAAACATTATGATAATGGGAAAGCTTTATGTTATATTATGAAATATTATAGAAACGTTATCTATTATTACTAATAGTTAGAACAATTACAAACAGGTACAAAATAATTTTATATATTTTATACTCATATATAAAACTCAGACCAAACTAATTCTATCACATTCAGTGAAGTAAATAATTTTTAATTAATTTTTTAAAACTTATTTGATTAAATGAAGCACCATTAAATTACAGATAACGGTCAAGAAAATGGTTTAAAAATTAATAAGACTTATGTTTTATTAATTTATTTAACTTATTTGATAAACTATAAATAAAAGTGACTACAAAATTAATCTTTTGATAGAAAATAATTTCAGATCTTTCGTCTGAGTTCCTAAAACTACATATGTAAATAATGTCAAATCTTTCGTCGCAGTTCCTACAACTATATAGGTAAATGATCTTATGTCTCAGTTCCTAATACAGTAAATAATTTTTAAAATACTAATTCAAATATGAAAATGTTTGGTAAATAATTTTTTCATTACTTTATCAAAAAAATAATGTAATTTTGAAATTAATTCAAAAACCTTTTAAAATTATATTAATCCATATTTAAACTTATATTATATAAAAAGTCACTTTTTTATTTTGTACAAAAATTTATTCATTTAGAATGTTATGAACATGTTGATAAAAAATATAAAATTAAATGCCGTATTATCGTTAAATTAATTAACTACTTATGAACATTAAGACTGAATGATAAAATAATAAAGAATTATTGAAAGATAATTCTAAAAATATATAAAAATAATTATAAATGAATACAGAACAAAAGGTTCTATAGTTTTCTATAGTTTAATTCTCTTGTAATAATTGAAAATAAATATATTAACAGGTATATTAATAATTTTAATATTTATTATTAATTACACAAAATAAATGATGAAAATCGAGATTTAATAGACAACATGAAAGTTCATTGTAATTTATTTTTAAACGAAAGAGTTAAAATCATAATTAATATTAATCGATATTCTTTTTATAACTGTTGAATAATTAGAGTTTACAAAAATTTCATTTTCATTCTACAGGATCGATTTCTTGATTGCTCAATAAAATATTTTTTATAAAATAAAATTATTTTCGAAAATAATTTATATTTACTAATTTAATAATATTCTAAAATATATACAAAATATCTATATTCATATCATAACTTGATTTCGAAACTTTATATACACAAAAGCAATAAAAATGAATTTAAAAAGATCTTGTATAAATGAGTTTTATTTAGTGAAAACTTTAGTTTAACAAATATTAGTAGAAAGAGAATTTTTAAAGAAAAAATACAATTGAAGACATCATTTAAATTTATACTTATATAATCATAACTTCGTTTATCAAAAAAAATATATATCAATCACTAATTAATCAGTTTAAAATAAAAATAATCACTTTCTTGGATCTTACATCGTTTGCAACTCACCTAAATATAGAGTTTGTGGCCATTATAAAATCTGTTTCGCGTCCATTCGTTACGCTAGCCTTGAACAGTTTTGACTTCGTTTGAACATTAAGGAACTTATCTGAAGTCATGAGCCGATATATCGGACTCATACTTTCGCCCACTTGAAGTACATCTTTCAAATGAGTCGTTAATTTGTTGAGATCATGGGGATGGCACAAGTCCTGAATTTTTGTATTAATCAGGTCCTATATTGCAAAACATAAATACATTTTTTATTAAAATGTTTTCTAATTTTGAAATTTTTTAATTATAAATGAGACCAATGTTATACAAGCGAAGATTAATAAAAAATTAATAACTATATTATGATTATTTTACTATTTTAATAGAATAAAAATATAAATGATGTATTTACGGTATTATATATATTATATATAGATTATAAAAATATTATTATAGAATATTTTAATTAAAAAATTTCAATTATCAAATATTGACACGTATTGTAAATAATAAGTATTTATTGTTTTTTTTACTTTTTACTTGAAAAGGAATATTCACAATAATTTAAATTAGATAATACATTACTACGAATTTGTATTAAAATTGTGATGATTACAAGCTTTTATAAAATTGCTGTTTTTATTATATTAGATATATTATAATTTTTTTTACTTCTTAGCAAAATATTTATTAAATATGAAAATGATTGAAAATTAAAATATGAATTCACCCTTTCATTTATTAAATAGTAAATTATAATGAACACCAATACTTAACTGTTAAAATTATATTTCATATATATGTTATTAAATAAATGTGTGTAATATATTTATCTTATTTTATTTAATATATATTTATTTATCAACTTAAATAATCATTAATTTATATTCTATCTATTATTCTCGTGATAATATATTTAACTCCTATAGGATACTTTGCAACACACGCGCGCGCGCACGCACGCACGCACACATATATACACCCGCCCAAAAGCAGTTAATAATTTTAAACAAACTTTGATTCGAATATGAATATTTTATGTTGATATATAATCTAAAGTATAAATTCGATTATACATAGATAATACTTGAGAAAATGTATATACCTTCAACTTTTTCTTATTATTCTACAAGTAAAAAAATATTAATTAATAAAAATCTTTTGTTTTTATAACACCAATTTAATAGTTATATTATAAAAATAATAATTTATGATCATTATAAAATTGAATCATTACTATAACGATACTAATATAAAAAGAATGATTAATTTAAAATATTGTTATCACTGCATTAAATAAAAACTAATTTATAAGATTGGTATGAATATAAAATTTTTTCGAATTGATAGATTTCATTTTACTTATGAATGTGGAAATTTTAAACAACTTAAACATTAAAATTAAAATATAAAATTACATTTAAAAAATGTAGTAAATCATTGTTATATAACAAATTAAATAATTTTTTGCTCAAAAATAATTTATTAAATTAAAAATGAAAAGTTTTAAATAATACAAATATACAACAAATAAAGTTTTTTAATAATTAAATTTTGTATTGTCATACTGCATCTAAACTGACTAAGCAACAGTTCTTAGTACTATACAAGTTACTTATTTAAACAATTTTAAGTCTGAAATAAATAAACGTATATTACATTCGCTATCAGCATAAAAATGTATAAACATTAGAAATGACAATTTAAAACTGATCAAAGAAAGAATATTTTACAATTAAATTTGAAGATGTTGACACTGATTATAAATATTAAGTATATCTACAGGTAGACGCTTATTAATATTCAAAATAAATAGTTCGAATGATTTGACGAAAATTTAAATCAGCTCAATGTACGATTATATCTTACACAAAAATCTTAAAAGAAAATATGCAAAAAGTAGTACCTGCCTATACTATAAATTTCTATATAATTCAAAAAACAAAATTTAAATTTTATTATCTTAAACATTATTATCAGTTATAAAAAGTATAAAAACATTTAAAATAATTCATACTTCTTAAAATGAAAAAAAAGTAAAGTATGTGAGTTTTTATAAAAAAATATATTGTTGTCGAATAAATGTCACAACTAATTCTAAAAATACTTATGAAACGATATTTGATAAGTTTTCTATTTAAAATGAATTATATATTCTAATATATGTTTAAAACTTTTGCTTTACAAAATGGCATCGACAGTAACTAGATCAAATATATTTGAGCGTGCAATGATGTAGATCAGTGTAGAGAGGGAATTTTTTTATCGAGGATAAATGTATTTGAAAATAATAAAATATATAAATAACATACAATACGTTTTGGGACGAAAGATACAAAGGTGATAAAAGCAAAAGAGAGATCGTAAATAAGCACTTTCTTTAATGCATTGATTGATGATATAGGATAAGAGCGTGCATGTTTAGTTAGTAATAAACAAGATTACACAGAAAAGCCTGCCTATCACGCAACCTGATACATAAAATCAGTATAAGTAATTATGAGGCTTGAATGGTTTTGTGAATATGCAGTCAAACATCAGAAGACTGATGAGCAAAGAACAGTAACTTCCATTACAATCTTTCATTCTCTTTCTCACCCACTCCCTAATTTATTTGCACATATACATGCGTACACTATCATTCGCTCACCTCATTGCTTAGGTACATTGAGTAAGAGGGCAACAGCCAGCTTGTATCAACGGCAAGGATCTTGCCAATCGTATCCAATTTGAAGGTAAATTGACCAATGCGTTTCTCATCAAGGGGAATACGGCGTGCAACGCACATTACACAAGGTCCAATGTCTGAAGACTCGGATACGTCATTGCCGGTATTGCTTCCGATGCTACCACCACTGATATCAAGTCTATCGTTGCTACTGGCGCCGTTATTTGGGAGAAGGGCCGAACAGATTTGCATCGTCTCATACCTTGATACGCGTTGCTGCTTCTCCTCCATAGTTTCTTCTTTGTCATCGGGAGGCTTGACCAAAAAGCGACATTCGAAGATGCGATTCCGCGTTTGAGGTTGAGGTTCACTCGACCAACCTGCTGCATTTATTAATACGGACATACAAGTTTTAATATTGCCCCACATAATCTGGAACTCACAAGTGAAGGAGAGGGGAAGGCGAATGTTTTACGACTCTGCTAAGTACTTTTGCGCAATAATGAAGGACACCTATTTTTCGCAAATTGCCTTAGATTTTCACCACCAGTGCTATTTGCTTTCAAGCTTATGTACCTCCTCATTTTACAAATTTTGCCATTTTAAATTAATTCAATTTCAGTATTATTCTTATAGATTTTCAAATAAACTATTTGAATTTACAATTAAACTCAAATGCGACTATAAAAATATATACAAATCAGCACAAACAAGCACTGAGGTTTAAACAAAATGCAATATACGAGAGATAAATGTACGAGGCGTGACTGCATTAAATGATTTTAATCGCATGCGCATATAAATAAAAAATATAAGTAAATATAAGTGTGATAAAAAGATATTTTAGAGTCTAAAAATATCTTTTTTCTTATCAAATCTAAATTTTTAAGTCAATAATTAATAATAATACATTAAAAAATGTCTAAATAAATAATGTTCATCTTTTCAAATATTAAATCATATTAAATTTGTGAAGAAAAATATTAAAACTTCTATAAAAAATTTAGATAATAATACTTACCTACTGACATGGGAAGAATGTTAGGCATGAAGTTGTTATGATCTCCATGATGAATAATATTATAGATATCCTTCCCAAGTACATCATTCTTGGTATAATTTATATATTCTGTTATATTATCTGTTACGTATTCCACGCGTCCTTCTGTGTTTACGACGAATAAAAAACCATCTAAAGCCTATAAAATAGAAAAAAGTTCTTTTATTTGTTACATTCGTATAAAATCTAGTCTTTTATTTCAAAATGAAAATTAAACACAAAATAAATTCTTGAATATATATCTTTAGAGATATTTTTTAGTCTCTACAATTTCATTAAAATTAATTTATAAACTCTACCATATTAATTATGTTTTCATCCATATGATGAAACTTAATAGAAGTTTGAAATAAGTAAAAAGTAATAAAAAGAACGGAATGACGAGAACTACCATTTCTCAACAAATCAATGTAATGTAATTGCAAGAATTCTGTTTGCACCTCCTAATTTACTTGTAATTTAAAACAAACTTTATAAATATTTTCTTGTTCATCGATAATAACAAATAAGAAAAAAATACCGAAAACAGATGTCAAATTAAAGATAAATATGTAGGTATATAAATGTAGAATATTTCTAATTAATTTTATTATTACAAAATTTTACTATAAAAATTACAGTATATCTTAAATTTTGTTTTTCTTTATGGATTACCTATGAATATATAATATAATAATACAGGATGTAAAAGAAAAAAAAATTATTTATCGAAGTTTAAAAACTTGCAACTTAATTTCTTGTTTATATTGATTTAAATTATAACAGTTTTTAAGTGATTTAGCTGAATATATCACAATACAAATATACAATTTAATAAGTTTGTATATTACACTAAAAAATTAATAATAATGAAAATATCTATTAATAAATTTTTAATTTATTTTATTTGAGAAAAATATGTATTCAAATTAAAATACATATTTGTCAATGTTCATATTTCAAAACCCGAATCTATTTAAGGCATAAAAGCAATAAATATTATTTTAAACTTTTAAAATAGTTATTTAGAAATATTAAAATTAATCAATAATTATAAATAAAAAATGAAAATTAATTACTCTTCTTTTTAAACCAATTTTTATTTAAAATTATAATTTTTTTGTAGTATAATTGATTGCAAATATTTGGAATGTAAAAAAATAAACATGAAAATAATACAGACCTCGAGCAAAATAGGACCAACTTGATCATTGGAGAGTATGTTAGGATTCGACGATGATACTTCTCCTTGTTGTACAGCATGACTATTAGAACCTGTCTGTTGATTAATGTGCCGAATCTATGAAAACGAAAGAGAAATTCTAATATTAACATTAAATCTTCTATTAGTTGATCCTGCCTGTAATTTATATTTTTAATATACTTTACATTTCACGATTGTTATAACTAATATATACTTTAAAGGAGTATAAATATATAATTAACTTATTACATATGCATGTTTAAAAATCTATTAGTTGCATTCAATGAATATTATTTGATACGACAATCGAAAGTTACAAAAAAGTTAAAAAATTAAAAATAGTATCAATAGTAATATGGATTTAGATTAGATTATAAATTCTAATTTTAAATATCCATTATGTTATAATAATTTAGCAAATTTGAATTCTAATATGATGATAAAATTTTATTATACGTTACAATTCATAAACAATGTTAAACTATCATTACAATATGTTTTACATACATACTATTAGTAACATAAGCTTATACTTTTATTAAAATTCTGGTATACCTATTTGATTTTATCAATAATAAGACTTGCATTTTGGTATCTTGCAATAACAGTATTGAATCATATCATGTCATTAACAAAATAGTATAAGACTAAATGGTTATCATTGTACTTGTTTTAAACAAAAAATATAAATTGGAGAAAATCTTTATTTTCATTTAAATTTTAATCAAATTCTAATGATTACATATTTTCTATAAGTTACTATAAGCAATAAATTAAAAACACAAATTTAATTTTATAATCAGTACTTGCTACATCTTGCACTGTAATAAAAGTTGTTTAATGCTCTTTCTTGATTTTGAAAACTCGTTTATTAATTCACATAAGATATGTAATTAAGTATGTATATTTAACAAAAACATTATTAAATACTAAATATTGTAATATAATATTGTAATATAATATATATATATATATATATATATATATATATATATATATATATATATATATATATATTGTTATTATTATTAATGAAAACAGTGTATGAATCGTACTAATGACATATTTTAAATAATCTTTCATGTCTTGGACTTTTCTCTTCCTTTTTTGGTAATCCAAATTCTCATACGTACGCACGCATGTATTAATGATCCTGTTTCTTACAACTGTTTTCTCAACAATAATAAAGAATAGCCAAGCTGACAATAAATGTAACAGTTTGTCGCAGGAAAGAGTATGAGAAACAGTAAGTTAGAGAAGATATGGTAAGTTTGAGAAAAACGGCTGTGATCGTTAATAATAGTTTCTGCTTTACCAACTGAAGTTCATGGTCAGTTGTTTGCTTCATACTAAAGAATGACCTTGAACATTTTCCGTAGCCGACAGATCGCGTCGTAATCGCAATAAATTAATAATTAACATGTGGTTTCGTAGAGTCGGTGATTTCGCAAACAATTAGTGCAACGTTGCTGCTACTACATTGTAATGTTTTTTACGCAATTCCCTCTCCCAATGTAAACTACTGTCGACTGTATGCTTAGATATTCGATTTGTGAGTTATTTTGCACAGTATATAATTATGTTGAATTTTTTCAGCCTCTTCAAATTATACTTTTGCTTTCGTTCTTTGCTATCTGCTTTACTACTATTTATGTCACTACTTGCTGCAGTTGTTATGACTATTATTACTGCTCTATTACTGCTCTAGTTACGGTCTATTCGTCCTTATTTCTAAATTTTCTGCTTTCGAGTAACCTTATCTTGCTTTTTTTATTTCATCTATGCAGATCTATTACTTGATATAGATCACTGTTTGATTTTTGTTAGGGACTTCTTTCTCGATATCTTAGTGTATTTTAGGTAAGTGTATTTGTGTTTTTTTTCTTTTTACTACACACTTATTCGTCTTACGCTTTTTTAACTTCCCTATCTTTTTAAAAGTCAAGAGTGCAACTTACCTGTTCTACGGTTCTCTGAAGGATCTGACATTTGTCAGTTTTACCAGAGCTCATGTCCGTGACAGAAATCAATTCAGCAAGCTCATCAATGTAGAGATTTTCCTGAGTTCGCCGACGCTTCTCATTAAGGCACTTATTACTGCAACAGAAAAGAATTTTTAAATATTTTCTTTAGCAGTGTGATTTGTTATACTAAAATAACAGCTTCAAAATCCTTAGTACTACGATGCGAAGTTATAAAGCTTATACAATGCAAGCACTTTGTCTTAAGCTATCATTTTTGCCCCTTCTTCATCGCCCTATCTTTGTCCCTCTTATTTTCCCTCTTTTTGTTAATTTTAGAGATAGACATGCTTTTATAAATATTGAATACTTCATTTCACTACTTTAACTTCAATGTGTAATTTAGATGCATCGTTGTCAATATATTTATGTATACGTGGATCTGCAAGAGCGTATGTCGTAGAACCCATATAGATTTTTATATGGACATTACGAAGTGTGCTTGGAAATCTGCAGCATCCAGAACATAAAAAGACAAAAAGAAGGATACGATGACCTTATCATCACTTGACAACTCACGAAACTCAGAAAATACACTTTTTATTCACACGAAAGGCCAAAAGGCAAGTGTGTGATTCACAAGAAAGAGGGGGGAAAGAAAGAGGGAGAGCTATTTATATGTATCACGATGAAAATAAAATATGCGAGTATGGTGACACCAAAATCGTACAATCGCGAAGATCATTTCAGGACATAAATATAACTTCTAGAAATCTAGATTCACTAACATTAGATGACAGGCCTCTACACTTTAGAGCGTCTTTTCATCATATCATTTTATTTAGCCGAATTCGTCTATACATACAATGGTTTTTTTATTACTAATTGAGAATAGTTTAGACATAATTAGCCAATTATAAACAGTGCTTATTTTAAATTAAATGCGTGCGCGATTAGTTAAAAATTAATAGTCAAATTGTACAGAGTAATAATCTACCCTCTACCACAAACTTATTTTCTAATCCATCTATCAATTATTAAATGATGCTTAGCTATATTCTCTTAATTCATACTTTTTATTTCGTGGCTTTATGATATGCACACAAAATTCTAATTTAATAAATATCTTCATTAGTTTACTAATATAATTTTCTAATAGACAAAATAATAGCAGAAAATATATAGTTTGACATATAAATAATTAACAAGTATAGATTAGAATATACATATGGTATTATTTATTTACATATTATCATATATCACATAAATATTGACTAATTATAAAAAATGAATGAATAAGTATTACAGTTTATAATACATTTTCCAATATATCAAAATCATATAATATATTTAAAATAAATTGAACAGTATTTATTAAAATTTGTAAATATTTTATTCATTCACTTTCAACTAAATTAAAATTTTTATATAAATAAAATTACCGATTTTCATCTAAAAATCATATTTTTCAATTAGTTCTAATAATTATTACATTTTCTATTTTGAAACAAAAAAAATTGTTTTAAACATAAATTACATAATACACAATTATACAATTTCTTATATTTTAATTACAAAAATAATGAGTTATAAACATACATCAATTATAACGTTTAATTTTTACACCAAATCTATAATTGATAAAATTATAATCAGTTTTCAAAAATATATTACATCTTAATACAAAATACATAAAAAATTCTTATAAATATTAGAAATCCATTTATTATAATAAAGATATGGTCTGCAAATGAACAAATAATTTATTATTGTAAAGTTTGACTATTTCTGTAAATAAGTATTTAGTTCAATTTTGTATTATTACTATTATTATATTATTATATTAATACTATTATAATAATTATAATTATTTCCTGTTTTAATATAGAATCACTAATATCTAATAATATAATTTATAAAAAATAATTTTATATACAATCATATTAAATATAAATATATCACACTAAAGATAATTTTTGTTAAACGAACCAAAAGTAACTGTATGAAATGAAAGAGAGGTAGATACATAAACGGAGAAGGAGAGATAAAGAGAGAAATTGAAGGTATCAATTTTCTAAATTGTTAAAAGTGTTGCAGTACTTCAAAACTTCTTACACATACTGCTATTAATATATTATTTATTTTAAAGTAACCAGGCATTACCTTCAATTTTTCCTCGTATATTTAATAATAAGGTACATATTCAAAAAATAATTTAGATGTGCACCATAAATGTTCTTAACGAAATATATTAATTGAATATTATTATTAATTTTGTAATTAATATTGTAATTATACAGTCGTATACAGTGTATGGATGGAAAATTCAATATATTTTCATTAATTTTGCATATGTTACTAATAATAAATTTAATTTTAAAGTATTTCCAATGAGTCGAATTTTAAGAAAGATTGATCAAATAAAAAATGATAAAATTGTATCATAATATGCAATTAGAGATATATTGGTTATTATATACAAAATTTATACGAACTGTGTGTCCAGAAGATTCGAGAAATTGTTAATGCAATGGTTAATGTTCCATAAATAACAGATTAATAGATGCTAAAATAAGTGTACTAATATAAATATCAAACAAATTTTGATATGTAATAAAATTATGAAAAATTATATAAATTTTTGTAAACAATGACATTTAATAATTGCGATAATCAAAATTACAAAAGTAAGTAATACAGATTTTATACTTCTATAAATAATTTAATGTTTGAACATATCAAATTTTAAATGAATTTATAAAAATTAGCTAAAGTTGTTTCTCACTGTCAGTTAAAAAGTAACATTAAAATACGTGTAGAAATTTATATAGAATTTTTATATTTTATTTATTGAGAAAATATTATGTATAAACTAAGCAGTATGCTGGTTAAACATTAAACGAGTGGTTAAATATGTTAGATATAAGCTATAAATATATTTTAGAAAAGTTGATTTCTTATGTGTTTAGTCAACCAATACATTTACATTTAGATTGGTCTATATATTTTATAAATAATGAGTAAAATTTTTGTTTATGAACTAAAGTAATTCCAAACATCCTTCATTCAAAACATAAGTTTAAATTAAACATTCATTTTTATAAAATAATGATATAAAGTAATTATATCACATAATTATGCAAAAATTATATAAAATATGTATACAGTAATAATATACATAGTTCAATGGAATAATAAAAAAGTACGCAGTTTAATGAATATTCTTTATGAATATACATCATCCATGACATATAGTCAAACGTCCTTTGTTTATTAATATTATTTTTCAATATAATATTTTTCATAATCAATTAATTTATATGTCTCCTAATAATATATAATCAAATCAGTTTCAAAAATTAAAATTTTTAAATCAAAACATGATTTTCAAATTTGGTCTATCTCCAAAGATCTAGACCTTTAAGTCAGATTTCGAAATGTACATTTTATAAAAATAAATTAAATAAAATGAATACATTATAGAATACGAAAACAGTTTAGCTTTTATTTATATTAATAAAAATAAAAACCGATACAAGTTTTTACAATAAATATTTTTAATACATAACATTAATTATATAATATTTACAATCAATATATTTCTATGATAAATAAATTAAAACAATTACATAATCAAAGATGAAAATCTAGAAACATTGTATATAATAGTTTTAATAAAGTAAAATAAAGTAAAATTAATTTTTTTTCAAGAGACTATTTAAAATAAATGTTTTTTTTTTCATATGGTTAAATATTTCGCCGGAATTTACGATTTGTATAATTTCAGATTAATAATTATGAAATTACATTTTATACTGACATTTTGATTCATAATATTAAAAATTTAAAAATAAATTTTATATTTGAGAATTTGATATAAAAGATTACTTTTGTATTTGTTTTTTCTATTAACTAAAAATAAAAATATTTATTACTGTTTATTTTGTTATTAAATGTTTATAAAATTAAAAGAATTTAAAAGTAAAAATTGTAGTCTAATATTTTAACACTAATTACATAAAAAATAATTAGAATTATTGGGTAAAAAGTAATAATAAATACATTGAAAATTTTCTAGAGATAAATAAATTTATATATTTATAAACAATTAATAGTAATTGATATAAATATACAAAATAAATTATACTTAAATTGGTAGTGAAATTTGTAATGTGTAGTATAAAATAAACGTTTATACTTTACATATACACTAATGAATGAAATCCCTAAATATTTCATAGATTTTAGCAATAGAAAAACTAAAGAAAATACTATTTTTGTAATCTCATACTCACATTTGCGATTGAGGCTTTGCATCTGATTTCTTTCTTTTTTTGGTAATATTACCAGTAATTGCACTCATTTTGACCCACAATGGGCCCTGTAGCTCACATGGACTGGGCCTAAAATATTTAAGATATAATGAATATATTTGTGAAATACTAGGATGAAATAATATAAAAACATTTAAATTAAAAAAATTTATAAATTAAAAATATATATAAATTTAAAAAGTATAAATATATAACAATAAATTGAGTTATACTAATAAAATATAAAAATGTTTTAAAGTAATTTTTTTTCGCAAGCCTGAAAAAGAAAAAAATTTAACTTTATACATTAATGGTAGCAACTTATTGAAACATAGTTTTCTATATATTTTTATGAGTACATGTGAAGAAATCGGTTTAATTACGGTACACGTGAAGAAATCGGTTTAATTAAATAATAAAATTTTAACTGTGTCATTGACTTTTTTTAAAAAATATCTTCTAGTTTAATTCATTCAGCTTCATTGGAAATGGTTAATTTCAGTATTTCAGCAATTTACTATGTACGATAATTTACAATTAATAACAATAATAATACGATATTTCTTTAAGTTGATACATCGTTTCTTCTTAAAAAAACTTGTCTGTACATTCCCCTCTATCTGTATTTTTTTCTTACAGTATTTTCTTTAATTTGCTGTACAATAAGCATAATATGTAGCATAATGCTGTATTATAAATTATTATATTTCACGGTCTATTAAAACTTTTTAAGTTAAATGTTTTATTTTAAACTTGAAATGAGACTATAAAGTGTTTCTTAATATTATTTATTTTTATTTAAAATTATATACTTAAATAGGGTAAATATATTTTTTACTTATTAATTCAGATTAGTGTATTAATTTTTTTAATATGAATATTTTTTAATATTATTGTTTTAGAAGTAGAAGGAATAAATTCTTTTAGAATCTAATAAAATTCCAAATATCAGAACCATTTTTTATTATTTTCAATAAATTACTTTTGACTGAACCGACTATTTATATAATTTCTTTAAAAATGCAGTAATTATTGTAAACATGCCAATTTTTATTGAGTAATATTTTTATTAAAGTAAAAAATCTAATTTGGGATATTATAATTATTATCCCATAATTCACAAAATTACTATCATCCTAGGACTGTTGGTAATCAATACAAAGACAAAAAATAATTCGTCATACCAATAATTTTATTATTTATTATATTTTTACTACATCATAACATTTAGAGAAAATGAATTTTCTTTTTACGCTTTTCTACAAGATGTTTTTAAAAATATTATAATGGTACAAACAGTAGTTTCTTTAAACATACTTTTACAATAATGATTAAATTACTCAGTGATTCGTTTTCATCTTAAAAATTTAATAAGGATTTTCTGATATCAGAAAATATAATTTACTGTACATAATATTTTACGAGAAATAATTTAATCAATGCAAACACAATTTTAATTTTATTAGCAATCCTTCTTATTGTATATTTAAATACTTTCACTTATTATTTATTATTTTAATTTTGTTGCATGTATTATTTTAATTTTAAAGTTGAATAATGAATAATTTAATAGGTTTAGATATTTTTTAAATTATATTTTTATACTTAGAAACAAAGACTGAAATATAATAAATTACTTTTAGTTATTATGATTGTCTTTTTAGCGCTTATCGTTGCACTACATTAATTATCATGATATGGACCAATTACTCAAAAGCATATATCGAAATAATTAGATAATAGAATATGGATTTTTATTAATATTCTTACTTATAACATGTTAACGAAATTTTTCGAAAAAACATTGGTTCATAATTAAAATTTAGTTTGAATGGAATTATATGTACAATGCAAAAAATATATAAAATAATTACTTTAATTATTTAATGCTAGTATGAAAACTTTGTATTGCATAATAATTAAATAATGTTCACAATGAAACAGATCTTTTTCGCAATAAATATATTTGAGTAAAATAAGATTATTTGGAATTATTGTTACATAAAAAACTAAATGTAAATAAATAATAATGAAAATATCTAACTGTAGGTAGTACAATTCAAACAATAACCAGAATATTAAGATTATGCATTTGTTACATTTAATATTTAAATATTTGTATGATCCATAATTTATTATAAAATGAAAACATAGGTATTATATATTAGTTATAGGCTGTATGAACTTCACGAAATAACTATAATAATTTTTTTATACAAACTACATACACATTCTTAGATGTATAGAATAAAATTATTATTAATTTTTTTATTTTCGTATAAAAAACAAAACGTTCGTTTAAATAGAAATAAGTTCTTTTATGATCCAATATATACAAGTTTCTTAAAATAAATTATTTACATTAAATTTTATAATTTAATATACTTCTAAATAAAAATATATTTAATAAATATTAAAAATTTTATAATTGTTTTGTATTATTTTAGCCTATACACTTTTTCATTGTGAATTTTTCTTCTTTCGTCTTTACATAAATTATTACATTAAATAAATGAAATATATTACATATAAAAAATATAATTTAAAATAAAATACACTAATAAATTAAATAATTTAAAAATAATTGTAAATAAACAGCAATTAATTCGTAATAGATCCTTGAAAAATACCTTAACAGCTTATTTTAATTATTTTAATTGATTTTTCATAACAAAATTACAAATTGATTCTAATTCATGTTTTAACAATAATGGCAACTCTATTATTAATATTTAAATTAATTTAATAAATAAATTAATTCTGTTAAACATTTTTTTTAAAGATACAAAAATCGATAAATACCTCAGTTTAAACAACAAATGAAATATAATTTAAGAATTCTTCCAATATTTATTTTCCGCTTATGTGTACTTAACCGAAATGGATCATTTTCCAAAATACAGGAACAAAAAGGCGATGATAAGGATGAGCCTTTCCATTCGTTCAATTTTCAATATTATGAATTATTATGACCATGAGCAACACCATCGGTCGCTAATGAAAAATTCTTTACTCCTCTCAAAGACTCAGTTTATAACTTTCTTTTTCTCCGTATATTGAAACAAGATTAATCATTCGAATACAAAATATCAGAAGGAAACAGAAAGTCCTTAATGGTTAAAAGATAATATTACGTTATATAGAAAGTGTACCCATAAAAATCAACGAGAAATGTGAAAATCAATATTCTGGGTACCAACTTTTACTACTATTGATCACGAATTGTCAGTTTAAGAGGGTAGCAATGCACTTTCTATATATTATAATTGTAAAACATTATTTGTCACGATGTTTTTAATACAATGTTTACGGATAAAAAATCAAAGAAATGTTCATTCAATCGATAAAATTATGATTATGTTTGCAGTAAAGTAACTAACTGGCTTTAAAATGTTCAATTCGTATATTCATTTTCAAAAAATTAATATTATAAATACAATAGTCTTTTTGTTTAAATTCTAAAATTATTAATTATAAATATATCATTTATAACGACTCATTTTCCGAATATTACATAATACAATTTCTTTATTTGTATAGTAATATATAATATTCTTAAGTAAAATAAAATCATAAAACCAAAAAAAACGTTGTTCACTATCAATTACTTTATGAGAAAATACTGAGTCATACATGTATTTGAGGAGAATACAAAAGAAATATTAAAATTATAATGTACAAAGTAATTTTTTATTCAATTGATTAAATGAATGCTTATTGTATTGAATGAAAAAATCTCGTATTCATAATTGTCTTGATTCAAGACTTTTTTATTTCTATGAGAATAAAATATAAATTCAAATTCAAAATGTGATTATATTCTCATAAATCACATTCAATCATTTCACTTACAATAGGAGATTATATTGTATATCTGAAATTTTATAAATTTTGCCTTCATATTCTTTTATTACAATATACAATCCAAAAGTACATTTTTTTATTCATAAATTTTTATTTTTAATGAATCAGTTATATAATAAATAAGTCTGATAATTTCTATTTAAGGACATAAGTATTATATTGTATATTTTAAGTTACTAAATTATAAAACAAAATTGGAAATTGATTATTCTTAGTGCTACAATAGACACATTGATTGTAAAAATGTTTTTCTATTTATTTATTAAATTAATATAAATTTAGAAATACAAAAAAAATCTTTTTATACTTCTAAATTAAAATATAAATTATTGAATCATGAATTTATAATCTCGGTTTCAGAATAAATTTAAATTAATGTTAATTCAGTTATAAAGATATTTTTCCATTTTCCAGTATCGGAAGAAATAAAAATTTTTTAAATAATTTAAATCTATAGAATGGATTCGTCATATTTTATATATCCAAAAGAATTTTTTAACATATATCCAAAAATATATCCAAGAAATTTGTTAAGACGTCTCATTTATTAGTATTTATTAAACAATTTCATAAAACTATCAATGATAAAAAACATTGTTTTATGAAAAACATAGACATCAAAACAATATAAAGAAAGAACGTTAAAATCCGAAAATGTTAAAAAAAACAGTGAATTATTATTTTTAAAATGGAACAATAAATCAATTGATTAATAATATTTAAAAGAGAGAAAGAAAGTAAGAACATTTGAAAGAAAATTTTCAGATATTGAATAAAGAAAAATGAACTAATATACTATTAATATAATATATAGTTAATTTCTATTACAAAATATAAAATTAAAATAAAGGTTATTTACATAGCATAAAGAAATTTTATAAATTTTTGTAAAGATTTAACGTAAAGCGATTAAATCCCATAATAAAATAATAATAAAATATAGTCAAATAAAGGACATAAAATTGACGGTTTTAAAGCAATCATAAAACAAAAAAACTAAACAACAAAATGAAAAATGCACGAATCAATTATACAATATAAAATAAAAAATGGAGCTTTTAAAAATATACCAGAAAAAAATTAAAAAACAAAACATTTAAAGGATAAAGAAGACATCATTCATTCAAAATCATTCACTTCGAAAATTAAAATTATATATTATTTAACGGTTGGATATGAAACAATATCAAGAGCTATAAAAATGGAAATTGATCGAAAACCATCAT